TTCTCTTTATTTTTTGTGCATCTATTATAGGTTTTTAGTTTGTGGTTACTGTGAGGTTCATATTTAACATCCTGTATATATATAGCAGTCTGTATTAGGCTGATGGTTACTTAAATTTGAACTTATCCTAAAAACACTACTTTTTATTACTCTTCCCTCTATGTTTTATGTATATGACACGATATTATACAGCTTTTTATTCCATGTACCCATTGACTAATCTTAGTGTACATAACTGATTTTATGACTTCTGTCTTATAAACTTATACTGGCTTTGAAAGTGATTGATCTACTACCTTTACTGTGTTTCTTTTACCTGTGATTTTCTTTCTGTCCTGATTTTCTTCTTATTATGGCCTTTTCTTTGCTTAAAGAGGGCCCTTTAACATTTCTTGTAAGGCTGGTTTAACGGTGGTGAGCTTTAACTTTTGTCTGGAAAACTCTTTATCTCTCCTTAAGTTCTGAATGATAACTTGACCAGGTAGAATACTCTTGGTTATATGACCTTCCCTTTCAGCACTTTGAATATTTCATACCACTTTCTTCTGGCTGCAAAGTTTCTGCTGAAAAATCCACCGACAGCTTTATGGGATTTATGTACCCTTTGTACATAACTCATTGCTTTTCTCTTGCCACTTTTAAGATTCTCTCTCTGTCTTTGATCTTGGCCATTTTAATTATTATGTGTCTTGGTGAGAACCTCTTTGGGTTTGTCTTGTTGGGACTGTCTGTGTTTCCTGGACCTAGAATCTGTTTCCCTGGTTTGGGGAAGTTTTTGGTCATTATTTCCTCAGGTAAGTTTTCTTCCTGTTTCTCTCTCCCTTCTCCTTCTGAGACCCTCCTGTGCAAATGTTTTATCTGGAGTTGTTGCAGAGCGCTCTTAGCATCTTCTCATTTTCAAATTCTTTTTTCTTTCTGCTGTCCAGCTTGGTGCTGCTCACTGCCCTGCCTTCCTGATGCCAATCCTCTCTCCTGCGTCCTGTCTGCCGCAGGCCCCCTGCGGCGTGGCCTCCCCCCCAGCTGTGCTCTGTCCCACCGTAGTCCTCACTGTGCCCACGTGTGCTTCTCTCCAGGCCAGCGTGTGTCTTCATGGTCGTCGCTTTGAGCTCTGACATCCATTTCATTTAGCTCTTTTTCTGGCCCTCGGTCTTGTTCTTTTGTCGGAACGTATATCTCTGCCACCTCATTTCCTCTTTCTTTCTGTTTTCATATATGAGGTGGGTCCACCACCTCCTCTGGTCTTGAAAACAGTCCCATCTGGAAGATAGCTTGCGGTGCCAGCAGTGCAGCACCTGGGTTCCACAACCAGGTGCTCCCGGGTGGCCCCTCGTGGGCTGTGCCCCTCCGGTGCGGCTGAGCGGTGGCCACTCTGAGTACTGGCGGGTGAGGCTGCAGTGACTGGTGTGGGGAGCTCATGCCCTGCGTGGCTGCTGGCGGTGTGCTGGCGGGCGGCACCAGCCCCTCCTCTCCATGGAGGGGTCGTTGCTCTGCAGGGGCGCTGGTTCCCACGGAGGCTGTCCCCTGGGTGTGCAGTGCAGGAGTCGTACCAGCTGGGCCATGGCAGCCATTGCTGTCTCTGTAGGTGGGGTGTCAACTGGCTCCTGTGAGTGTCTGATCAGTGCGGCTGAAGGAGGGCAAGCAAAACAGTGCTGCCTACTGGCCGCTGCTTCTCTGGAGAAAGCTTCTGCAGACCTGCACCCCTCTGGCACACCTCCAAAGTTAGTCTGTAAGTCTCCTCACGCGTAACCAAGGTGCTTCTCAAACTGCCGTCTCTCTGCCAGGTCTTGGGACCAGCCACAGCTGATGCATTGGGGGACTCAGCTGCTTCTGGTTTTCTGCTGTCATGAATAAAGCTGCCATGACTCTTATTCCTTCTGTCGCTTATTACAGATGTGCAGGAATTTCTTGAGACAATACACCTAAAGGGGACATTTCTAGGTTGTAGGCTCCTGCACGTGTTCATGTTAGCCCAGTAATGCTAGACAGACTGTTTCCCAGTGGGGTCACACCACCTCATGTTACCAGAAACGCAGGCAAGCTCCTGGGGCCCACGTCCTTGCCAGTACCTGGGTGTGCCTGCTTCTTAGTTTTGCTGATTTCGTGGCTTTGACATGTCATTTCTTAGGGGTCTTGGTGTGCGTTTCCTTATTTGATAATAGGATCATATACCTACTTATCTGTTTAAGGCCCATTGTGTTTCCCTGTTGTGAAATGTCTACTTGTATCTTTTGCTGTTTTTCTACTTCTAAAAAGTTGTTTTGTCTTTTTCTTATTCACTTAGGAAAGCTCTTTATATGTATGCTCTGGGTTTCTTCTAATTTGTGTTTCTCCTGTATGTCGCCTTTTGATGCACACAATTCTTGATTGACGACTTGACTCTATTACCTTTTCTCCTTTAGAGTTTGCATTTTTTTTTCTGCCTTAAGAAATCCTTTCCTATTTCATGCAGATGTTCTCTAAGATTATTTTATAATTTAACTCTTCAGTCTGCATGGGAGGAGGTAAGGAGGGGAGTTGTTTTCTCCATCCCTGCTGCTCCCATATGGCCATAGGTGGGCCTCCCCCTCAGGCTCCTCTGCCCATTCTGCCCCTGCCCCTTGCAAATGCCACAGAGTTGTGGCTTCCCTTGGCATGGCGAGTTTCACTCTGTTCCTCAGTAGGGTCTTCGCTGTTGCTGCTGCCCGTGCGCTCTTGTATGTGAGCATTAGGATCGCCTTTTCAGTTGGTCAGAAATCCCCTGCTCTTAGTGTCGTTGGAATCACACCGAATGTGTACATTCCCTTAGGGAGAAGAGACAACTCTATAACCCAGAGGCATTCTAAGATTCTTGAATGTCTCTATTTTTATTTGATTTTGTTAATTTCTCTGTCTGAAACTTAGTCATTTTCTCCATGGAGATATGGCATATCTTGTGTTAAGTTTGTACTTGATACTTGAGATTGTGTACTTTAATTGTGCTTAAATCTGATGGTCACTGAGTAGGGAGTTGCTGGGGGTAGTGTGCTGACGCTCATGGGGATTCTTTCCACCCTTCATTATCAAGAAGTATGTTTGCTCTAGGTGTTTGTAGATTATTTTTTTCATATTAAGGAAGTTTCCCTCTGTTCTGAATTTGTGATGGATTTTTATCTTGAATAAGATACTATATTTGCTTTGTGTTTATTGATATTTTTCTCATTTAATCTGTTAACGTGGTCAGTTACATTAACGATGTTCTAATATTAAACCGACATCTATGTGATAAAACCAGTTTGGACACAACTTTCAGATATTGCTAGAGTTAATTTTTCTAGTGTTCCCTTCAAGCCTTTGGAATCTGTTTCATTGTGACTGACCTATAATTTCCACTCCTGCAGTCCAGTGACATACATAGAGTGAGTGCTTACCCACCCCACCCTTTCCACTGTGTGGAGGAGTTTGTATAAGATTGGAATTATCTAAATTCCAACATCACCTAAATGTTTAGTGAACTCGTTCAAGGAGAAAGTTGTCTGGTCTTACAGTTTTCTTTGTGGGAAGATACTAAAGTAACAGTTCAATTTTGGGAACACAGTAGGACTATTTGTGTTTTCTTTTATCTTGGTTTTGTTAAGATATTGATCTGTACTTCTCTGTTCCTGATCAGTGTTGCTAGAGGTTTACTGGTAAGATTTTTTTCACCAATCACCGTGCATGTTTGGCTGGGGGTTGGGAGCAGCACCTGCAGAGGGAATGTCTGCTGCCCGCAGTCTGAGTGGCTGCCCTGGAAGGCCAGCCTCGAGCGGCCCCTGGTGTCCTCATGCACCCCATGCCTCCTGCCAGCACTCTGGTCCGTAGCTTTGTGGCCACCCCTTCCTCTCCTGTATCTCTTGTTCATTTCCTGGCTCTTGTTTGCCATCTTCAAACTTGCAGTTCCCTCTTTATTTATTTCATTTTCTTTAGTTTTTCCAGCTACCTATACATTTAAGTCTGATGTAACCAGTGGTTTACAACTCTTTTTTCTAATTTCCCTCCAAACACAACACTAAAACTGTGTTTACATTTTGCTTTTGCTCCCTGCAGTAAATTGGTTTCAAACCTATACTTTTCTTTTTTCCTCTGGCCTGGTGTCTTTCTGTACTTTTAACTTCATTGCCTGGTCCTGCTGGTATTCCCTTATCTGTTTTCTCCACCCCACACACCTGCTCTTGGATGAGGGGACATCATGCTAGCATGGCACTGTCCCAGTGCGTGGCTTCACCACCTGGCTCCACCTGTCTGATCCTGAGCTGGCAGCTGGCAGCTCATTGCTCACCAGCTGATCCTCTGCCCTGTAGCAGCCATGGGCACTGCCATTGTCCTTGGCAGGGGTGTGGGACTGGCATGCCGTCTGCTTGGTAGCTCTGCTGAGGGTGCGTGGGTCGCCTCTGCTGTGTCCTCTATTCTTTCATCTTCTGTGGGGAGGATGTCCATGTTCTCATCAATAAACTCAACTAGTCCTGAGAAGTCACCACACTGGCGGTTGGCTCAGGTTGCTCTGCTGCCGGAAGACATGCTTGCCGCGTCTTTGAGCTGCATGACCGAACTGCCGTGGCCACAGCCACTGCATGGGCAGCCCAGGGAGCCCATGGCCCCTGGGGACACTGGCGTGGTTGGTGTACCTGTTCACCCAGCTCACTGAGACCCTATGGTCGTTGACTCCGTTTTTAGAAATATATAAGATGGATCTTCACTTGCCTGGCAACTTATTTCCATTCTGAATGAGGAAAAAAGGGATTTTGTTTTGAATTATTATTTGTGAGAATAACATTCTCTCATGAATTTGCTCCTTCCTGCCTGGGGCAGGCTGGATGTTTATTCTACTTTTGTAGCTGATGAATAGAGGTGGAAACCATATTAATAATTCTCACCTTTAATCACTACCTTGTTCATCTTCTAACATATTTTTAAAATTAAATGGGATGGTGGAAGTCTCTTACAGAAATTTATTTCTAACTCAAATGTTTTAACTAAATAAAGCTTTAATGATTTTTCCTCCACAGCTGAAAGACCCGATTTTGTCCATCAGCCATGAGCTGGAAGAGCGCCGCTCGGAGCTGGAGCAGCCGCAGCAGAGGCACGAGGGGGAGAGCCGGGAAGGCTCGCAGCTCCTCTGGCTGCTCCGTGCTGACCTGGACCGGGCTCACCTCGAGAGGTCAGCGGCACACTCCCCTGTCTGCCGCACCCTGAAGGTGGCGGGCGGGACCCCCGTGCTACCTCATTCTTCTCATTTAAAAAGGTTTTAACACAGAGCAGAGTGTTGCACCAGGACAGCAGACACCCATACACTTGTCACCCTGCTTTGCAAAATCCTCACATTTTGCCAGATCATGAACTTTGATGTTCAAATGCAGGCACAGTTAGTGATGTGTCCCTGGCTGGCCGTTTGGGAGTCTTACTTAAGAAATAGTTTCCTGCTCTGATGCTTTCTCGGTTTTACATTTGGGTGGTCTGGGTGCTCTGGAACTGTGAGTTGCTTGTTTACACCTGATGTTGGAGTGCCCTTATCTCGTTGATCTGAGCAGCTGGCTCAGCATCACACTGGACGGTGCAGCTGCGACTGGTCTTCCTCGGGACCCCTCTGCTCAGCACCGTGTGCTCCTGGAGCTTTGGGCTAAAGCCCCAGCCTGCCTGGTGCCTGCTGCCCCTGGGCCCTCACCTTCAGTAGCCCTGCCACGTGCTCTCATGGTGGAGAGACCAGGTCCAGCGGCTGGACCTGCTCAGCCCTGAGCTTGGTGAGGGCCTGGCATCTTCCTTATGTGGCCAGAATGTCTGCCCAGGATTCTCTGCATAGCTTTGTAATACTCCATAAGGATCTCACATGCCTTTCCCAGCATCTGTCTGTGGCAGCCTTGTGGCTTGATGCCAGCTCCTTGGTCACTCCAAGGTGAGTGCGGCATGGAGCATGGTGTGCTCAGTGGTCACTGGCTGTGCGTGTGGGAGGGACATGGTCAGGAGCAAAGGACCCCGACTTATTTGGGGGTGTGCTCTGCTGAGCAAGCAACAGTGGCAGATACCCTGACACCCACAGGCGTTTGCCATTTTTGAGGGACATCATAGACCAGGGTTGGCCTGCCATGGATGGGATGTGAGGAGGTGGGGCCACCTTTAAGGGCACCTTTGGTGTTTCCTCTCAGCAGAGCTGACACCTGCCCCCGACCTGCTGCCTCCATCGTGGGCCTTGTGCCTCCCTCACATGCATGCGCCCCCATCCTGCAACACATGGCCTGGGTGGCCTCTGTGGGCCTGGCAGCAGCAGAGCTGTTGGGTAGCCCCAGATGTCTGCTCAGTGCAGCCTGCCCCACTTCCCTCTTACCTCACCTCAGCGTCCCGCACCCTATTCTTGTCTGTCTCCCGCCTGGGATTTAACTCCACAGGGGCCTCCTTGTGTGTTTGTTTGGGGCATTTTCCTGTGTTGCGGGCAGGGCCTGTTCTGGGCCTGAGGTAGGGATGTGGGAGTGAATGGACGGGTGGTCTAGCCGTCTCCTGCCCCTTGGGCCCTGGCCTCTCATGGTCAAAGGCTCGTCAGACTGTGCAGCACGCATGTCAGCTGCAGCCCTCTGCCCGGCTACATCCCTGATGGGGTCACTGTGCCATGGATGGATGAGCCCAGCTGGAAGGGCTCTTCTGGGAGGAGGACACAGCTCAAAGCAGGGTGCAAACTGACCAGCCCTGTGAACAACAAAGCACCCCAGAACCCTAAGGGCCATGTTTATGCCCAGCTCTTCACCTGAAGGTCAGAGAGGCTGGGATGGGGGCACATGGGGTTTGTGCAGTCCCTGCCAGGGGAGGGCAGCTGTGTAGAAGGCCCTAGATGACACGGTGTGTGCTGGCTTGGGTTTGCCCCACGCCGGTTGGCTGGATGTGGACCTCCATGAGTAGTATGCTTGAGTCAACGATGATGCAGCCCCTTAAAGATCGAGAGTAGCTGCAGAAAGGTCTGCTCGTGTGGGCAGAGCCATCCCCAGGCGTGCTGCTGTCCGAGGGGGTCACGGCTGGGTCCTGGCTGATGGCTGCGTGCGGGCCCCGTTTCCAGGAGAGCTCTCCAGGAGGGCCTGAGGAGGCTGCTGGACTTGTTTGGAGAGGTGCTGAAGGCTGCCGCTGCCCTGAAGAGCCGCATTGGTGAGCAGGTGGGGCTGTGCCTGGAGGATGAAGCATCTGCAGGTGAGTACCTGGAAGCCCCCTGCCAGCAGCCCACAGGCAAGGTGCCGAGTGTGGTCAGGGCCAGCCCGCCGGCCACACAGCGTGCGCAGCTTTCCGTGTCTTGCTTTCAGTGCCGATGCTTGAGGACACCTGGCCTGGTTCTGAGGCGGCCCTGCTAGACCTGGAGAGAACTTTGCCTGAATGTGCTGAGATGTCATCAGTGGCTGAGATCAGCAGTCATGTCTGTGAAAGCTTTCTCATGAACCCGGGAAGCATGCTGGAGTGTGAGCAGACAGTTAGGAGGGCACACCAGAGCCTCGGCCGGGCGGTGGACCGTCTCCTAGAGATGGTCCTGGCCTCCACCAGGCAGGTGAGGCTGGGGCCCCATGCCCGTGCCACTGCCGTTCCCCCTCCTGCCCCACCTTGGTGTCTGCTTAGAGGAGTAGGAAATGACTGGATAGCTTGATGAGCGCCACAGAGGTGATGCCCCAGCCCCAGCCGGAGGGTGAGAAGGGGCATCCTCGCTGTCCCACCCAGCCAGCTCCTGTCTGTTCTCCTCTGCTGGGTGTTGAGACGATCCTTGATTCTGGAGCTCACACACCTGGCCTCGTGGCACTTTCTTCCCTCCCTGGGCACTTCTCCTGTGTTCTCTTGCAGCAGGCGTCTTCTGAACTGAAATTCTGTGGAGGGGGACTTGCTGTGGGTGGAAAAAAAACCCCAGTGTGCAGTGCGGAAGAGGCAGTCAGCCCCTTTCTTTTCTGCACTTGGCTTTATACGCCTCTAACTGCACTGAAGACATTTATATTTAAAGCTTATCACTGAGAAAGTGAATTTTTTTGTTAACCTTTATAGAACACGTTAGACAATTAGAAAAGACATTACATAGGAATATATGGAAAGCATATATTCTTTTATCCAAAGTCAGCCCCATTCAAAAATAAGTATGAGAAGCCTTGCTTTCCATGTTTCAGAACGCTGCCAGGGCCCCCACTCAGTGCAGGAGAGCAGAGTGGCAGTGCCAAGACACAGGGCTTCTTCCTCTGACTTCCTTCTAAGCTGCCTCTTTCCTCCCCATGCACCCTTCTGTCTTCTCAAAAACTGGGCCAATTTGGGCAGCATCTGTCTGATAAGTGATCAGGCGCTTTGACCCCAAGTGTGAATAGGTGGAAAGAGAAGCCCTTGTGAGCATCTCACGGGAGGGCACCACATATGTAGGCCTTGCCTGGCATGAGCAGAACCGCACTGGTCTGTTGCAGGTCCATGCTTGCTCTCAAGGTGTCCTGTTCACCAGAAGTCCTGCCCCCACAGTGTGCCACAGGGAGGCCATCTCTCCCCACTGCGGGGCAGCACGAGGCATGTGGGAAGGACAGGTCTGGGGAGGGCGCTGAGCAGAGTTGGGCAGGGCAGTGGCTGTGAAGGGTGAGGGGTCCCTGTTCAGGGCAGGGTTGGTGGTGGGGCTGCCCGAGGCCACTGGCTGCAGGAAGGGCTGTGCTGGCCAGTCTGCCGGAGCAGGTGCCCCAGGAAAACAGGGGCTGGGAGAGGTGGATGGTGCTGGAGCATGAGAAGAGACGGCCCTGGGAGCTGGTTTTCAAGGTAAAACCAACAGATTTCCTTAGAGGCCACTTCTGGAAAACGCTGGTGCTGTGTTAAATACACAAGGAAGCTTAGGGAGACCCAGTCCAGGGCTGAGTTGTTCTCTGGGCAGCTGGGTGTAGGTGTTTGGATTCAGAGATTAATCTGGGCCCTCTAGCCTCTAGATGGCCTGGGAGCCTCAGACTGGACACAACTGCCAGGGAAACAGGGAGGAAGGGAAGGTTGGGACTCGGGGCTAAGGCAGGAGTGGGGGCCTTGTGCTGGAGGGAGGGCAGGTCTGAGGGCATGGGGGTGCTCAGGGGTCCCTGCCCAGTGGCGACTGGCCCAAGGAGCCCTTTCCTCCACCCCTTCGGCCTTTTCCGTTTCCTTCTCCACCTGTGGAGTGCCAGGCGGTTTGTCCCGACCGGGTGCCAGGCTCTGGATGGTCAGCTCTTGCCCCGTGTGTCCATAATGGTGTAATCCTGCAGAAACACAGGCTATCAGGGCATGTAACAGATGCATATTCTGCAGTGTTGTATGTGTCTGTGTAGAAGTTTTCTTTCTTGAAAATTTGACAAGTTTAATTATTTAGTAACTGGTGCAGTATTGAACGCTGGAATTGTTTCTTATGGACCATTTATGATTTCACCAGAATCATACACGAGCACAATTCTGTGGTTATTAACATAAGCATTGGTTGTTTTTGGCATGCCATTCCAATTTCCAACGTGTTCTGACAGCTGGAGGAAGCCCGGCAGATTCATTGTCGTTTTGAGAAAGAGTTCAGCTGTAAGAATGAGGAGACAGCGCAGGTTGTCAGAAAGCACCAGGAGCTGCTGGAATGCCTGGACAAGGAAAATGAGGCCAAGACGCGGCTGACGCTGGAGCTGCACAAGGCAGGGGGTGAGGCCATGCGGCCGGACGTGCATGGGCACAGCCTTGCCCAGGGCAGGATTAGCAGCAGGAATTTTCAAAGGAAACTGTAAAGTGAAGTAAAGGAAAAGGTGTGAGGCACCAGTGACCTTCCTCAGGGAGAGGCTTTGTGTCTGGGAAGGGCCCTGGCAGTGTTGGGGGGTCAGCGCTGCAGCCATTTTTGGGACTGGCGACCTCAAGAGTGTTCTGTAGTGTGGGAAATAGGAGGAAGGCCCTCCCTTGCCAGGCAGCAGGCCACAGGTGCCCTGAGGAGTTGCATCTGTGCCTGCTGCCAGCTTGGCTCTCACAGGACTGGTGCTTGGTGAGGCCTGTGTGCTGGGCCCTCGCCTGGGTGGCATGCCTGCAGCTGCTTGTGGCTGCACCGGCCTTTCCGGTGGCCCCTGGCCCTCCCTAGGAGAGGGACTTGGGCATGCCCACTGGTTACTCCTGCCTCATAGCTGACATCTCCTTGTGTCTCCAGGCATCGTCGAGGGGCTCAAGGTGGAGAGGGCCAGCCTGCAGGAGGCCCTGGGCCGGAAGGAGATGTCCGAGCAGTGCCTCGTGGCGGAGCTGGAGAGCCTGAAGCAGCGTTTGTGGCAGGTGGCCCAGCAGCAGGCCGCGCTGGGGGCGGAGAACACTGCCCTGCGGAGCCGGGAGGAGGCCTGGGCTGCGGGGGCCGCACGGGAGGCAGGTGAGATGGGCGAGCCCCAGGTGAGATGGGCGAGCCCCACGGCGTGCGGCCTTTCTGGGGAGGGCTCCGGGAGAGAGGACAGACCCTGCTGCTTCCACTCGCAGAAACTGGGGGCTTGTCCTGGTGGGCATGGCTCCTCAGTCCGCACACCACTGTGAGGTCACAGCCGCCCCTGGAAGGGAGGTTCTACTTAAAATCACAAGGAAAATCGGCCTAACGTTGACCCTGCCTCGGAAGACATCTGATGTTAGCAAAAGTAGTTCATTGTAGTTTCAGATTCTTTGGTATTTCAGATTTTAAATAAAATCAGTCAAACAAAAACCTGTAAAAACGCTGTTTGTAGGGAGCAGTGTCCTCAGTAGCACACGTGGAGGGTCTGCCGGTGTGAGTCAGGAGCCCCCGGGGCCATGATCCCTGGGCCTCGCCCGCTCCTCCCCCTGCCACCAGGACAACTCTAGGAGGCACCCCGCCTGGCCCATCCCCTCCCCAAACCCACCGCTGCCCCCATTCAGTCCTGTCTGGTCCTCGGCCAAGTCTCTGTCCCGTGCCCCAGGCCGCGCCCCCCAGGGGTGGTGCGGATGCCTGCAGGTGCTCCGAAGCCTGGCGCTCTGCCCCTGCGTTCCTGCGCACGTTGTATACGCCATCCTGACAAATGCAAAAAACTCGTTTTCTTCCTCCAAACGCTTCATTCTTGTTTTTCTCATTAGTAAACAGCCGCCTTTTGGCTTTATTCCTCATGTCTAGTTCCTCTGTCTGTGTTTCACCAATTCTTGCTTGCCTTCACCACTTACGCCCTTGGCTCTGGGAGCACTCCGGGGCAGGTCTGCATCCGCACATACGGTGGCTGGTGATGCCAAGGCAGGGATGGCAGCGCTGCTCCTGGTGTCTGCCCTGCTCTGCTTGTGACCCTGTCTGGGCTTCATGCTTTCTGGCTTCTTTTGTCAGTACAGGTAACTGGTCCTTTGCCCCCTTTCTGTTTTGTGGTATGTTTCTGATGCTAGAAGACTTGGCCTGGCCGTCTTTCCCCCGTGTACCTGGCCCCATCAGTATCTTGGTGTCTGCACACTTTTCCTTGTGCCGACTGGGATGTCATCGCAGCAAGCTGCACAGAGCTGGTCAGTAGGTCCTGTGCAGCTCCACCCAGTTCCTGTCTGCAGGCTTCCTGTGGCCTGCTTTTCTCCCCATCTCTCTTTAAGACAGAAGGGGCTTTGCTCTATGACCAGGAAGCTGGGGTCCAGTTCTTCTCTGTTTCTTTGCCCTTGCTCATGGCAGTGGGAGAGCCTGCTGCGCTCACCTGTCTCTGCTTGGCCCCCGGCCTCCCTGCTGTCAAGCACGCTCCATCCCTGTGGTGGGAGTGAGCGTGTGCGCTTTGTGGATCCAGAGTCGTCTGTCCAGAGGGCAGTGAGTTGTCTAGATGTTTCTTCCTGACCCTTCAGGGACTGGATGCTCTGAGAAGGGCTCCGTGTGGGGAAGCTTGCCGAGACCTGAAGGCCTGTGAATTTCCTCTCTTCTCCTTCCTGCCTAAGATGGTGGTATAGCTGGAGAAAGAGGATTAAGGTTTGAATTCTTCCTTTAATGCCTAGAGGCTGGAACCGTGACTCCCTCACATCTGGTGTCCCAGCTGCTTCACCTCCCCTTGCTTCCCTGCAGGTGTTTCTGGAAGGTTCTTGCATGTCCTTGGACAGCAAATCGAGGTGGGCTCCCATGCTGAGCTTGTCTCAGCCAAAGTCCAGTGGTTCTGGTTAAATCTGGGGGCCTGTCAGCCATTACTTTTTCTTCTGTGCTCACTCTTGTCTGTCCCCATGGAAATCCTCAGCTGCCCTTACTGGTGGACAGACTTCCTTGGGCAGGGCCCCCGCCCGCTCTGCAACGTCACTGCTCGGCCTGTAGGTCCAAGTGCCTCCAGGCACCTTTTTTGGGTGTGGGGCCCATACCCCTTCCTTTAAGACCATGTCTGTTATCGTAAGACGTGTGCTTCTTCCCATCTCCTCTTCCTGATGTCGGGACCCTGTGGGAGGCACAGGGCCGTTAGGGTTCCCCTGGCCCAGAGCCTCGGGACAGCCTCTCCCCCGGCTGCCTGGGCCTGCCACACCTGGCCTGGCTCCCATGCGCCTTCCTGAGGACAGCAGCCCCTCCCTGTCCCATCTCTGGTTCTCCCTGCAAGGAGGCTGGCCCACTTGCATGGTATCTTTTAGCCAGTTGTGTTCTGTGGCCACCTTCAGAGCAATGCCACCTGTCTTGTCATCTTTGTTTCCTTCAAAAGTCAACAGCAAAGTCCCTGGAGCCCGGACCTGCTCTCTGAGGGCAGGCTGTGGCTCTCTGGTCCACCAGGCTGCTGTGACAGTCACACGCTGGGTGTGACGGCAGACAGGGCACTCACGGGACTGGAGGTGGAAGCCCAGACTCAGGGTGCCTGCATGGCCAGCTTCTGGTGAGGGCCGGCGTCCTGGGTCCCCGGCGGCGTCCCCTCTCTGTCCTCCCACGGGGAAGGAGGAGGCAGGGAGCTGTCTGGGTCTCACTTAGAAAGGCACCACACCACTCGTGACCCGAGCACCTCCCAGAGGCCCCGCCGCCGATGCCACGGACTTGAGGGGTGAAGAGCTGAGTAGGAGTGGTGGGCACTCACAGGCTGCAGACGGGCAGCACATTTCAGAGACACTCGTGTTCTCAAGACTGCATGGGGCCAGGAACACTCGCTGAGTCCGGAGCCGGCATGCCTGCTTCTCACTCGCACATCCTGGGCTGCACGTTCTTGTTTCCTTCTCTGAAAGGCTGTTTTTACATTCATAGGCACCCCTGGGACTGTGGCACACAGGGATTCAGGTCTGTAAACACAGATGGGTGATTTCTGTGTGATCCGCTCTATGCCTGCCCCAGAATTTGCAGTTTCTCCTAAAGAGGAAAAGTCCCTCAGAGCTTCCCCTTCAGACTCTTGAATGAAGTGGTGACTTTGATGTTCATACCAAGAAGTGGGCTGGCGTTTCCCTGGCGGCTTTCATGGCAGGTCCCGAGCTGCAGGAACCCCATGCCTTGTGTCCCCAAGCTGGGGGCTGCCCTGGGGGCCCTGAGGGAGGGGCCCTCAGCAGCAGGGCAGCCGCGTAGGCTGCAGGGCACTTACTCAGCGGACGAGTGGGCGGCAGTGACAAGCGAGCCCTCGGTCTGCATCTGCGCAGCTGCAGTGACATTGCTCTAACTGCATGTTTCTGGCTGACTTTCCGTAACTGCTGGCTTACTGGCATGGAAACTAACTGGCAATATTTATTAGTGTTGAGGATAGTTTGTCATAAATGACTGACTGAATTGCATAAACCAAGTTTTGAAAGCTGGTGAAATGTAAATAAAAACCTAGGAATTCAATATTTCTGTTTTTGGGTAGTTTGGACACTTCAGCACCCATCAGTGGCCGATGAGTTCTGACAGATGCACCTTAGTGTAAAGTTTCCACTTGGATCGTGGCCTTTCCCCTCCCTCAGGCAGTTCAGTTTGGCCTTTGACTTACCGGTGGCTAGACCCTTCGCCCCAGATGCCGTCGTAGCCATGGGCATGAGTGAGTGCCTTTGCTGCCCACTGATCTGCTGGGGGGCTTCCTCAGAGGGCTCATGTTCCCTCTGATGGAAGTTTTAAGTTATATTTTATTTTCCCATATTGGAGAATATATGTGAAGGCACAGAGAAGTAGCCAGATGTGTCATTTGGGAATACCGAGATGTACTCTAAGGCTTTAATGGTTTTATTTTAGCTGATTTTCATGTAAAAGATGTAACTTCTTTTTTTGCATAAGTGCTTGACTTTATTTTCAGTGGGTCTCTGGCCCAATCATGGCTGTGCCTGTTAAGGTGAGGCTCAGTGTGTACAGGACACGGGCTCACTCTGGCTGCTAGGGCATGTGTCTCCTCTCCAGGGGACTCTGTGGCCTCTGCTGGGTCCCCTCCTGCTGCAGGAAAGGGAGCAGCAAGGGAAGGGCCTTGCTTTGTGGGGCAGGGTCTGGAGGCCTCAGAAGACACCATGCTCCCCCCATCGCCTCCTGCCCAGTACTTCGTTTCAGGCTGCAGGGGAGGCCAGGCATGGGGCCTGCTGTTTCCCGGCTGGCCCAGCTGCACAGGGTGTCTCTGGTGGGCATTCGATGTCACAGCTGCACTTTGCCCTCAGCTGCCGGGCCTCCCTCCATCTGTGTCCTTTGCACCTTTAGCGCTTCGGAGGGAAGTGGAATGCCTAACCAAGGAGCACACGGAGACCAGGCAGCAGTCTGAGAAGGACCGCTCAGCGCTGCTGTCCCAGATGAAGGTTCTTGAGGCCGAACTGGAGGAACAGCTGGCTCGACATCAGGCCTGTGCACGGCAGGCCGAGGAGCTCTGCGCACTGAGGCAGCAGATGGAGTCTCTGGACAAGCACCTGCGGAGCCAGCGGCAGTTCATGGATGTAAGGACTTGGACGGCTTTTGTTCATGTCACTGGAGGTCACCTTTGTAGCGTGAGCTTCTCCCCACGTCATTAAATAAGCCCCAGGCTGCGACTTTACGATTAAAGGACAGCAGGTCGGGTGGCTGTCCTGGCCCTGCCTCTGAGCGGACATTTGGGGTGCCGCTGTGCAGTGACGTCTGAGCCGGCCCCACACACACTCTTCTTACGCCTCTGGCAGTGGGACACAGGCTTCCAGAGCTGCCTGTGCTGCAGGTCACAGGGCGCCCCCACTTCTCCATGTCACACATGCCCGGGCGGTGCACATGCATGGCAGGTGCAGACCAGGCTCCCCAGGCTGCACCTCCCTGGCTACCTTCTGGGGAGGTGGGTGTAGCAGAAGTGGTGGGTCCCGGGAATCCTGCAAACAGGCCGATTCCCATGACAGGAACAGGCCGCGGAGCGGGAGCGCGAGCGGGAGGAGTTCCAGCAGGAGATCCAGAGGCTGCAGGGGCAGCCCCAGGGCCCCCACCACGGCCCCGTAAGTCGCTCATGTGCCGCCCCTGCAGGGAGCCTGTCTCTGGGGTGTCTTCAAGCTTTGTCTCATAACACACTTTTGCCTTCCATGTACACGAAAGCTGCAGCAGGCGCCACTGGATGAAGAGGTAGGTCCCTCTCTGCTCCCTCTCAGGTGCTGCCCTGCCCGTGCTGCCCAACTCCAGGGAGGTCTGGGTGCTCAGTTGTCTCCTGCTTGATTTTCTTGCTTGCTTCCGCTTGTGGCCGAATGGTTGGCCTTCTGTCCGAGGTGGCCATAGTCAGGTTGCTTATTCTTTTTTAAAGTTACTTTTATTTTGAGAGAGTTGGGGACTCCCTTGCAGTTGTGAGAAATGAGACACAGAAATCTCCCTTGTCCCTGCACCCAGTGTCCCCTGCAGTGACCCCGCAGAAGCAGGCCAGGGTCCCAGCTGGACAGACAGGGCCTTCTCCCGCTGCAGCCCTCAGGTGCCCTCCCTCCCTCTGCCCACTGCTGTGTGCCTGTTCCGTGCTGTTATGTATCTGGAGGTTGCCACTGCGGCCTACTCATTGCTGGGCAGTGGGCCCTTCCTGTATCTCACTAATGGTTGTGTATCACAGTATTACTATTAGTGTTCTTTTTATCTAGAGGATGCAGTCTTGGTGCAGTTTTGTCCTGTCCTCCCATGGGGCTTCCTTGCATACCCTCACTCTAGAAACACAGGATCAGTGTTCTCTCCAGTGTATCATGTGCTTTCTTATTTGGAAGAGAGTTTTTTTTTTTTTATTATTGTATTTCTCAAGCATTTTTTGATGTTTTAGGTTGAAGTGTTACAAGAAAAATTGAGAGAAAAGTCAGAAGGACTTAATGAATTGCTTAGAAAGAATCAATTGGCAGATAGACAAGTGTTGATGCAGGAGGAAGAAATTAAACGTCTTGAGGAGACGAATGCTGACTCGAGAAGACAGGTGGTCCAGCTCCAGGAAGAGCTGGAGAGACAGAGAAGAGCCCTGCAGGAATCTGAGCAGGTGAGCTTGCATCGCTGGCCCCTCCTAGGGTCTCGTCGGTGCAGGCGTTGCCCAGGGCCAGGAGGGGCGCTGTAGGCAAGGGGCTGGTCTTCCCTTTGCTCCAGCACTGTCAGGTAGGGCCCTTGCTCTGACCCCTCTGCTTTCCACTGGCAGGGGAGAGCGCCCCCTCTTTCTCCTCACCAGTCCCCTGCTGCACCAGCCCCTCACCTCACTTCTGACACCCTGTGGCCCAGCTGGTGTCCCACAGCTCTACTCTATCATCCTGTGGACCTGGAGATGACATCAGACCCCAGGGGGGCCCAACCCACAGGACTGCCCCGTGCAGGTCTAGGGTGTCCCTGTGCTTCTGATGCTCCAGTATAGGTCAGGGTCCTGGGGCCCTGCTCAGTTCGGTCAATTTGCCCACAGAGTTCAGGGTGCCCCCTGGGTCACTGGCTATCACACAGGGCGTGACTCGGAACAGCCGGGGGGAGGGCAGGGCTCCCAGGGTGGGGCTCCCACACCCTCTGCGGGCGCCACTCTCCCCAAGTATTTCCGCAATCCTCTGGGCACAGCCCCAGAAGCTCTCTGAACGCTGTCCTCTGGGTCTTCGTGGAGGTCCCCTCTCATGGGCAGGGTGAGGAAATCAGCACCCGGCTGCCTCTGATCCAACCCCTCCCGCCTGGCCCTCTACTAACAGGCGGCCTCCCCTGGTGACCAGCCCCCACCCTGAGGGGACCTGGGGCTTCCCAAAGTCACCTCATCAATGTACCAAAGATACTTGTGTTGCTCTGGACACTTAGGGAATTCCAAGGGTAAAACCCCCAGAGTCTGTGCTGGGAGCAGGGAGACCAAACACCTGTTTATTATGAGAAATCACAATGTCACATTTGGTGTGGTAACATTTTACATCAGCTTTTGTGATACTCATTTATCTCTCCAGTACTCTTGAGTTTGTCTTCAGAAATTTCATAAGTTAAATGTTCAAGACTTTAGGCTTAAAAAACCTGCTTCACTAATTACTTAGATCTCCTGATGACCATTTTGATGTTCAAGTTTAGGAATTTGTCAGCTCCTCAGTGGAAATACTGCAGTGGGGACCCCTCCTCGTGGCCTTGTATTGTCCCTGTGCTGTGCAGATGCCCCGGTCTGGCCTGTTGTAGATGAGGGGGCGCTGTGGAGGCCACCCCACGCTGGTGGGGTGAGCCTGGGGAGCACCAGCCTTGGGGCGTGGAGTCTGGGGCGCTGACCTCACCACATGCATCTGAGTCGAGAATGCTGATGGGAGCTGTCGGGTGAAGTCATCCCTCGTCGGGGACTTGCTCGCTGACTCAGGGAGGGTGCCCCGCACAGCCCTGTGTTCCTGCCATAGCCACTTCTGTGCTTGTGTGGGGACAGCCCGACTGGGGGCTCTTGCCGCCCGCCTCCTCACGTTCCCTGGGTGCTGGGGTATAGGAGATGCCGTTTCCCTCCAGAGCGGGACCGTACATCCAGCTTTGTGTGCCATTTCTTCCCCGCTTCCTATGTTGTGCCTGTGTTACCAAATTAACTGTTCTTAGAAGACTCTTTAATGGCCTGTCAGCATTCATTGTGCTGGAGTATGGTCACCCATTGCCCTCTTCTTTGCAAGTTCTTTATAATTTTTTTAAATTGCTGACAGTCTAGAGACTTCATGTACCTTTTTCAGTAATCACTAGGGAGGACCTCCTCGCAGGGGAGCCCTGGGGCACACCACAGTGCTCGCCTTGGGACTGCATCTGTCCCAGGCAGCTCTCTGAGCACTGCTGCATCTATAGACCATGTGCAGGTACGTGCAGGTGTGTGTCCATGTCCTCCAGGAAGAGCCAAAGACCTTGTGGCTCTAACACAGCGGTGAGGCCTCTGATTGCGGAAATACTTGCCTGAAACAACCTCCTGATTTTCTTAAACAGGAGAAAGAGGCGTTACAGGAGCAGCAGCTGAGCAAAGTGCCTCTGATGTCCACACTGCAGTCTGAACTGGATGGGGGTCCTGTGGGCGGTCTTTCTGAGCACCCTGACGGAGAGCTGGAGGCTATGCGAGGGGCGCTCCTGCAGCCAGAGGGCGAGGTGGGTGTGGCGGGCCTGCAAGGGGTACCCTCTGCTCCTGTTCTGCTGCTGGGCCCTCGTGGCGCGGGAAAGGGCAGGCCGTCCAGTGAGGGTGGGCTTGTACTGCTGTATATTCTTTGTAATGTAAACCTTCTTATGTGGGATATAGGGTATTAATAACTTGTTTTGGCATATATTTTTTTAATGTTTAAAAGTGAATTTAAGTCAGTTAGAATATTGAATCATTTTTAATACTTCTTTTATTTTAATGGAAGATTTTGGACTTAAAAGAACAATTAGAAAAGATGAAAGAAAACTTAGTGAGCAAAAGCCAGGAAATGGTCCATCTGAACTTGAAACTGGGCCTGCAGAGCAGCTACAAGCTGCAGGAAGAGAACGCCAGACTGATGGTGATGGGGAAGACCTGGCAGGTGGCCTCAGGAAGGTCCTGACCTCTGAGCCACCCGGGGATTGGGAGCAGAAACAGCCGCTTGCAGGGTGGCGCTCACCTGCTCCGCCCACTCAGGCTCTGCCCCCTGGGGCAGCGCTGATTGCCAGCCTCTGAGGACACCTGCTGGAGTGAAACTGCAGGAGAGGGACTTCCCTAGAGACAGAAACAGAAGAGGAAGTAGTTGATGACTTTGGAGTGACACAGCCTGCTTTTGGCCATGACAGGGCATCCCATTCCAAAGGAGGCGACTTCAGTCATAGTCTCATTATCATCCCTTCTGCCAGCAGGATGGAAAAAAAATCTGTTTTTAAATTGTCTCTTACTGTCTTACTGTAATTGTGCTTTTGAAGCAAAAAAGAAAAGCCTCTGGTAGTGGGGGTGACTTTCCAGCTGTAAAGGGGCCTGGCCCCACCAGTGGCCTGCAGCGTGTTGAGTGTAGAGTGCCTGCATCTGTCCAGCACGACAGCTATTTGCTCAGTGAACCAACAGCATCACAGGAAATTCAGGGGTCACAGTCATTCATGCTGATCACACAAAGGTCACAGTGGCATGATTTTAAAATGACTTCAGTAAAAATAGAGTTTAGGCAAGTCCTCGTCACCGGCTGTCCTTTCTGTGGGAACTGTTCTTTAATTAGCAGAGGAGAAGCATCCTTGGTGATTGCTTTTATTGGGGAGAAATTCCGTTCAGAGACACAGGTAAGTCAGTGCAAGGTGAGGAAGGAATTCATTAAAGTGAGAGTAGGAGCAAATGGTAGCTGCCTCGCAGGCGGCAGAGAGCGAGTGAGGAAGAACAGGGGGAGGGAAGGGTGACTCGCTGAACTCCCGCTCGGCAGTGGGTGAATCCCTCCCCAGCTTCTAAAGCCAGGCTCACCTGGCGTCCAGCGTCCGCTCGGGTCTGGATGGAGTGAGATTATGTCCTGAGAACTCCCCAGAGGCAAACAAAGGGGGTTCAGGGGCAGGCTACTTAAGAGCGTGGTGGTGCAGCTGCAGTCCTGTGCAGATCACCCAGGTGATGGGGATCGGCAGCCCAGGTCAGAGCTCCCAGCAGCCCTCCCTACTTACATGGAGTGGAACAGAGAGAGACACACACTGGAAGAAAGGGGAGTGTGGGCGATCTCGGAGAGGAGGCGTGCTTGAGGGTTTGGGGTCTGGGGTTTTATGGGGCTTTTTGGGTAAGGGTCAGCAGAAAGCATGTATACAAGTGACTGGTTGTTCCTTTGAAGCTTTCTCCTAAGGACAAGGTCATTTAGGGGATTGTGTTGGTCCCGGTCTCAGCATTCTTTGTTCACATGGGCTCGTCTACACTTGGGGGTCCTGTCTCCAGGCCTGGTTACAAAGTTAGCTGATTAAGGGGCTAGAAGAAGGGGGAGAACAGCATATAGAATTAAGTTAAAGAATAAGCTGGGCCTTTTTTGCAGACTAAGTAGATTTTACATGGCATGATCTAATTGTACAATGAAGACAAGGACTGTGCTTGGATACTTTTCTTTATCTAGGGCATAATCTGGACATTCCAAGTCACCCTGGCCTTCGAAACTTCAGGTAGTTGACTGACTATGTGAGTCCTTCCTGAGGCTCTCTGGTTGTATCTGGTTGACTCTTTGAGTCCTTTTTAGTGAGCTTTACTGACTTTATTCTCCCTCTACCCCTCTCATGTCTGTCTTTCTGCCTAAAACTTTGAAACAGATACCTGGAGAAGCGCAGTAATGGATTTTCAAAAGACAAACTAATGTTATTTTAAACAGAAAGCACTTTTAACAGAAAAACACTTTGAAATTGAGTGTTACTGTTTAAAACTACAGGCTTATGTTATCAGAGTATCTCACCTCTGGGAGATCAGGGGACTGTTTCCCACAGTAATACTTTGTTCTTGTTCTCATTCCACAGGCATTTCTGCAGAACAAAGAAAAGGAGATAATGTGTATGAGAGAGCAGCTGGCTGGGATGGGGAGCAGTGTGCTCAGTGAGGTAGGCCTTCCCTGACACACGCGCGCCTGATGTGGCTCAGCCTCCTGCCCTTGCACCAAACAGCATCCTGCGTGTCGTGCTCTCAGTAGTTCATAGGTGTGACCTGGGGATCAGCAGCGGCCTCTGGGGTGATGCGGCCTGTGTCCTTCCGTACAGTTTATAATGGCTACTTCATTAATCTTGGAGGAAAGTGTAAGCATGGCAGGGTGGGGTGCTTTTGGGTAAAAGGAGGGTTTTGTCTGCGGTTCTTGTCTCTAAGTTTTGCAGTGAAAGAGTCTATTGGGATATTAACGACCCGTGTTGGTAGCTTATATATTTGGCTTAAAATACCCTTTTCTGTTACTTTGAGGAATGCTTTTATAACTAGTGATAATTTTTTAAAGGAGGTTGTATCTGATATATGCCCTTAGTACTCTGGAATTGGCCATGCAAGTATAGTTTTACATACTAAAATACCATATATGTTGAAAATGGTGTATGTGGTGGGAAGAATTTTAGTTCCATTAAGAATAGAAAACTGTAAAGACAATCTCAAATATTTTCTTCTGGGGTTTTTCATTTCTGGACATGTGCAAACCTGTACATCTTTTGTTTTTTGTGATTCTGCTTCTCATTTTTTTGTAAAAGTATAGCTGACGTCTGTTTTGATATTAATAAAACTAAAAATATAATCAATAAAAATCAAACTCCATTTGTAGGACCAGCTCTTAGGTTTCTGATTCTTTGAAGGAAACCATTCTTTGATGTGTTTTCTCCACCCTTATTTTATGTCAGTGAAGATTTTCATCTGGAATCATAACATCTTCCAGGTTTGTCAGAAAACCTGTCCTCACCGCTCCATGTCAAGAGCCCTGCTGATGTGGCTGCCCTTTCTTTTCTGTACTCCCCCCTCCAGCAGCTCCTTGACATTCTGACACCTTGTTCTCTCCATGAACTGTTCCCATCCTTCACTGCTTATTCTAGCACCTGGGTTAGTGTGTTTATCATTTATTTCCCACTTATTCTATAGTTTTAAGTAAAGAGGTCTTAAACATCTTCTTTAAATGTATACGGTTTGTTGAACTTTTGTAAGTGGGCTTTAGATTTTTTCCCACTGCCAGTTGTTTGCTGCCAGTATGCATATATATAACTTTTGTATATTAACCTTGTATCCTGTTACCGTGCTAAATTCATGTACACCATTAGTGTTTTCATAGATTCCTAGGGCTTTCTGTGCACTAGTGTGCAGTCTGCAAATGAAGATAGTTCTGTTTCTTTCTGATCTTTGTTCTTGCAACAATGTCTTACACTTCCAGCATCAGATGAAACAGGAGAGCGCGGCTATCCTTTCTTGGCTCCTGATCTCAGAGGAAGGTGCTCAGTGTTTCACTGCTAAGTATGTTGTTAGCTGTAGGTTTCCCATAAATGTCTTTTATCAAATTAAGGAAATTCCTCCTGTTTCTAGTTTGCCTCTTCTAATAGATATATTATGTTGCTCTTTTATTCTACTTAATAAGACTACTTATATTGATTTTGAAGGTTAAACCAACCTTGCATTCCTAGGATAAACCATACTTGGTGGTGATTCTACCCTTTTAATATATTATTGGGTTTAATCTGCTGTTTTGTCACTGGTTTCTGCATCTGTGTTCATGAGGGATATCAGACCCTGTTCACCAAGGGGCATGCCCTCGAGACGCCACTTGTGATCGAGTGAGCCTCCTGTGGCTGCTCCGGGGGCAGGGGACACTCAGGCCTGATCGCCCTCTCACTGCTCTACATCGAAGGGACAGCCCTACTCAGGACAGGGAGCTGCCACACGTGTTTGGGGAGGCCCCAGTGTCCATGCTCAGTCCCTGGCCTGTCGTGGTGCCCTCTGCTTCCTATTGCTCTGCACCTCAGAGGTCTTACTTTAGATGTTAGTGTTTTCCATTTTAATGCCACCTTCATGTGCAGGCTTTACTATTGTACGTATAACGTTTGTGTTGTGATTATGGCTGTTTTGCAGCAGTTACCTCCCCCCTCTGTGTTTACTGCATCATGTGAGGGAGCACAAGACAAGTGTGGGCAGAATCACCCTGCCCTTAGTTCTGCGCAGGGCCCTTCAGCGCTGTGAGCAGGCAGGTACAGTCTCTGCTGCCCAGCAGGCTGGCTGTGAGGCCCACCCTGTGCGCTGCAATGCCCTCTGGCTAACTGTATACTGTGGCATTCAGATGTGGCAACTGTGGGTGTAGTGCACAGCTGATACTCCAGCCAAAACCAAAAATTAATCTGTTTTTTAATTTTTGTTTTTACTAGAGGCCAGATTTAACTTGAGTTTAAAGTAATTATTAAGTAGTATTAGTAAAACCAAGAATAGTTATGAAACCCAATTTTTAGAAAGCAGAATATCAGATGGTAACAAATTGGTTGAAGAATGTTAACTAGAACACAAATTGGTTAGAAATTTTAAAATTTTGGGTCACTACTAGTGAAGTCATCTTAAAAGAATGGAGTTTAGAGCCATTTCGGAGCCATATTGGTATAGATTTCAAGCCTGATTTTCCATTTACTGTCTTTGGGGTCTTGGCAAGATATTTACTGTCTAATGTCAAATGTCCCATCTTTAAAGTAGGGTTGACAGTGCTCCTCACACTAAACGTGGTGAGGATTGGGCAGTACAGCATGAGTTGTCTCCGAGGCTGCTGTGGCACCATGTGCAGCAGGGCGAGGCTGGCGACCACAGGTCCCCCGTCCATGTGGGCCCCTGAGCATTCACATACCCCAGCAGTGCAGGGCCCTGCCTCAGTCTCACCTTTGCTCTTCTTCTTGTGTTAGAATGACCCCTAAAATCTACATGCTACCTTCAGGGAAAGCCAACAAATCAAAGTTTTTCATGTATTAACAAAGTACACATTTAAACAGTGGGGAGAACGCGAGCCTGGAGGTGTCGCTGGCTGGGATGTGACCAGTCGGAGCCTCCTCTGCATTTCGGTGCTTGAGGGGTGGAGTGGTGATGAGATGCAGTCTTGACAGACATGTCTGAACAGGTGGCCTAGCAGCAGCTGGGTACGTTGCCGTTTGGCCAGTTTGATGCCCTGAAAGTAGGTGCAGTGAAGTACTGTGGGTGTTTTTCTCAAATATTTAATGTCACTTCATGACATTGTTAGTTTGCTCCCACAGCTGTTTTAGTTTTCAAGCTGTGAAGTTTCTCCACTTCTGTAAGAATGAATTCAGGCTGAACTGTATGTTGAAAGAGGTAAATTGTGATGTTGAAACATTTAATTTGCCTCTGAACTGTTTTTTCTTCAGGTTATGTGTAACAGAAGTTCTGAAGTTGAGGAGCTGAAATCCATTATTGAGAATCTGCAGGAGAACCAAGAACGATTACAGAAGGATAAAGCCGAAGAGATCGAACAGCTCCATGAAGTCATCGAGAGGCTGCAGAGAGAGCTGTTCCTCGGGGGCCCCGTAGTGCATGAAGTCAGCGACTGTCAGGCTGAGAACCTCCGGAGCGAGCTGGAGCAGGGGCTGCTGTGCCTCCGGTCGGAGGGAGCCGAGGCCCATGCCGCCCTGGAGGGCGAGCTGCAGGCTGCACTCGCAGCCAAGGAGGCCATGAGCCGTCTGCTTGCTGAGCAGGAGTGCAGACACAGCCAGGCCCTGGGGGCCCTGCGGGAGCGCCTGCAGGCCGTGGAGGACGCTGCTTCGCAGCAGCTAGCTGAGCTGGGGTGCAGTGTGTCCCTCCGGGAGGCTGAGGTCCAGGGCATGGCCTCCCAGATCCAAGAGTTTGAGGCTGCTCTAAAAGCAAAGGAAGCAAAGATTTCAGAAAGGGATTTAGAAATTGACACTATGAAGAAACAGAAGTTGGCCCACTCCATTGAGCTGGGGACTGTCCTGTTGTCCTTTGCTCACTTGTGCCGCAACCTGGAACAGCAGCCTCTCAATGAGCCCCCTGAGCTTCAGTGGCTCCAGGTGCAGTGTGTCCGCCTCAGCCACCAGCTGCAGGTGCTGAGCCAGCGGTTCCTTGGGTGCCAGAAGGAGATGGACAAGCAGCAGGCATGCAGGGCCCATGTGGAAGGCAGCAGCCAGGGACAGGTCCCCAGGGGTGAAGAGGCCTCGTGCGATGAAGAGTCAGGACAGGAGGTGGGCATTAGGCGGTTGGCCCTGGGCCTTGTTCCGCCAGCAGCCTCTGCGGAGGGCTAGGCCATGCTGGGGAGGCTGTGGTGCGCTCGGGGAAGCAGGGCACACTGGGGGAGCTGGGCTTCGCACAGCACCTGCAGGCCCTAGCCCAGGCAGGTGGCTGAGCACAGGGGCTGGACAGAGGGATGTGGGTGTTCTCTGGAGAGTGGGTTCTCTTACTCTCCTACTCTCCTACTCTTTTGCTCTTCAAATTTAACAACTTGCCTTGTCTCTGTGCTGGGCGCTGGGGCACACAGTTCCCACTGAGTGGTCCTGACGTGGTGGAGAAATGAGTCTGAAGCTTGTGCCAGGCTGGGGTGCATCTAGGAGCCCTAGACCTTCAGGTCAGAACATATGCACACAGTGAAGTTGGACTGGGGCTCACTGTTTTTATACTATTTTACACGTATTATCATTTTAAGTTATTTCAGCTTTTTAAAAGCCCGCTTTCTTTAGTACGGTGGGCATCCAGTGACGCGGAGACACTTCAACCATGACAAAGGTCACTTTGTGCCAGATGGTCTCCCTTCATCCTCTCTGGGTTCTGTTCAGATGCTTTATTTTTAGCTGCTGTTTCACGTGTAAGATGTTTTTAGCTCATTCCGTTCTGGAATGTGCTGCAGCTTGTGTTTCAGTAGCTCTGAGGACTCCCTGCCTGCAGCTTCACTCCAGGGCAGCTGTGTTGCTGCAGCCCAGCCTGCCTGCTCTGTGGGGTCGCCCCAGCTGGCCCTGTGCCCTTGGGGCCTTCCGCGCGAGCACACCTGAGCTGGTTTCCTGTGTGTTTGGAAGGAGGGGCTCGCTGGTCACGCACTGTAGACCTTCCTCTTCCCTCCACTCAGAGATTCCAGGCGTCCCAAGCAGCCTGGTGACTGGCCTCACTGCACACATGCCTTCCTGAGTCGTTTCCTGCATCTTCGTGGAGCACTTGTTCTCTGCTTGTAGTATCCAGCTGAGCCCTGTGTTCTCTGCTTGTAGTATCCAGCTGAGGGTCACCTGCAGCCCACCAAAGCCTGGGTGACCCTCCAGGAGCAAGACGACATGACGTTAGCGCTTGCCGTCTGCCAGAGGCAGCTGGAGGCTGAGCTGCGCCTGCTGAAAAATGAGGTGCACTTGAGTGTGGCACACCTCAGTGAAGTGTTAGGAGTAGCCGACGTACTTGGGAATACATGCGGATTGGAAACACTTGCATTTTTGCTGAGGGGACACCCACCTTACGCAGATGCAGTGACACCTCTCTGAAACTGTCATTTTCTCCTGGTAGTGCTGTTCAGATCCATTTTGAAATCGCCTATGTGTCTTATTTTAAGGGCTCTCTAGAAACACAAGTCTGTGGTCTGTTCAGTGGAAAATGAGCAATCAGTTACATCTCCCTTCAAACTGCTACAAGTTGAATTTCCCTAGGCTCCAGGCCTCACCTCTAGGATTTTCCATTCAGGATAACTCGCCCACATGGTTGCGGTTGTGCTGTGGCTCGTGACCTTCACCCCCAGTGTCTGTCTGTCTTGGAAAGGCTTCTCCAGTCTCTTTCCCTACATGTTTTTACCTGCCTGCTCCCAGCAAAGAGCAGGCAAGTAATTAATGTAGAATTCAAAGTTTTAGAATTCTGATCATCAGGACAGAAGCTACAGGAAAGTTGACTTTTTCTTCCTTTAAAAAAAAAAAAGGTCTATGTCCTCAGAAAATGACCACAGAAATAGATGATGCCAGTTGCCTTTTGTGTGTGTGTGTGTGTGGTAAAATACAGGTAAGATTGACATCTTAACCTTTTTAAATGTACGACCTAATGGCATAAATGCATTCATAATGTGTGACCACCCACCACCATAGCTCTCTTCATCTTGTAAAACTGAAACTCTGTCCCATTTACACGGTAACTCCCAAATCCCCCCTTCCTAGCCCCTAGCAACCACCATTCTGCTTTCAGGTTCTGTGATTTGGATTCTTCTAAATATCTCATATAAGTGGATCATACAGTATTTTGCCGTTTGACCAGCTTATGTCACTCTGCATCATGTCCTCAAGGTTCATCCATGTGTGGCATGTGTCAGAATTTCCTTCCTTTTTAAGGCTGAGTAATATTCCATTGTGTGGATAGGCCATGTTTTGCTTACCCATGTACCAGTTGATGGGCACTTGGATTTCTTCCACATTTTAGCTGTTGTGAGTAATGCTGCTAAGAACGTGGATGTAGAGATACCTCTTTGAGACCCAGCCTTCAGTTCCTTTGGGCATATACCCAAAAGTGGAATTGCTGGGTGTAGTAATTCTATTCTTGATTTTTTTGAGGAACTTCTCTACTGTTTTCCACCATGTCTGTACTATTTTACATTCCCATCAAAAGTGCACAAGCATTCCAAGTTCTCCTTATCCTTGCCAACATTTGTTACTTTGTCTGTTTGATAATAGTCATCCTGATGGGTGTGAGGTACAGTCTCATTGTGGTTTTGATTTGCATTGACCTAATGATTTGGAATATAGGATATCTTTTATGTGCTTAAGGGTCATTCATGTACCTTCTTCAGAGAAATATCTATTCAGATCCCTTGCTCATTTTAAAATCAGGTGGTTTGGGATTTTTTTGTTGAATTTTAAGAGTTCTTTGTATACTCTGGATATTAATCCTTTAGCAGATACATGATTTATAAGTATTTTCTCCTGTCCTGTGGGTTGCACTTTCACTCGGTAAATAGTGTCTTTTGATGCACAGATTCAGACATTTCATGAAGTCCAGTCTGTCTCTTGTTGCCTCTGCCTAAGGAATCGTCACACCTGGCATTGTGGGGCTTTTGTCCAGTTTATTCTCCCCAGAGTTTTATAGTTTTAGGTCTTACATTTCAAGTCTTTGATGTCTTTTGGATTAATTTTTCTTTGTGGTGTGAGGTAAGGTTCCAACTTCATGAATCCCTTTGTATGTGAATATGTACTGTTCACAGCACCATTTGCTGAGAAAACCATTTCTTCTCCCATTGAATGGTCTTGGACCCTTGTTAAAAATCATTTGACCAACATGTGAGAATTTACTCGGGCCCTCTAGTATAGTCTGTTGGTCTGTATGTCTGTTTTTAGACTAATACCACACTGTTTTGATTACTATAGTTTTGTCATAAATTTTTTAAATCAGGAAGTGGGAATCTTCCTGTTTTGTTCTTTTTTCAAGATTCTTTTGGCTACTGGGGTCCTTCGAGGGTCCATATGAAATTCAAAATTCAGAAAATACAATGGTCATTGCTAGAGTGTAGAAAGGGGGGATTTGGGAGTTACTGTTTAAACAGGACAGTTTCAGTTTTACAAGATGAAAAGAGCTACGGTGGTGGGTGGTCATACATGATAATCATGTGAGATTTTTTTCCCCTCCGTTTGTTAATATGGTGTATTACACTGATTTTCCTGTGTTGAACTAACTTTGCATTCCAGGAATAAGCATCACCTAATTAAGGTGTATAATCCTCTCATTATATTGTTGAATTCAATTTGCTAGCATTTTATTGAGGATATTTGCATCTGTGTTCATAAAGAAAAATGGCTTATAGTTTTCATTTCTTGCATTGGCAATGTTTAGTACCAAGGCAATGTTGGCCTCATAGAATGAGTTAGGAGGCATTCCCTCTGCCTCTGTGAGAGAGTTTGTAGAGAATGAGTATTTCTTCCTTAAATGTTTGGTGGAATTCACCACTGAACCCATCTGGACGTAGTATTCCCTCTTCATCAGTTTTTTGGAAAAGTTTGAGATGGATCAATACTAATTCTGTTTTAAATGTTTGCTAGAATTCACCAGTGAGGCCATTAGGTCCAGGGATTTGTTTTGTTGGGAGATGTTTGATTACTGGCTCAGCCTCCATCTTTGTCTCTTACAGCCTTTCTTGGTTTAAGTTTATTTCACCTGATATCAGCACAGCCACCCCTGCTCTCCTTCAGTTGCTTGTCTCATGCGATATCTTTTCCAGCCTTTCACTTTCAACCTATTTGTGTCTTTGGGTCTGAAGTGAGTTTTTTGTAGACAGTATATAGTTGGACCATATGTTTTTAATACATTTTGCCAGTTTCTGTCTTTGTTTGGAGAACTTAATCCATTTACATTTAAAGTAATTACTGATAAGGAGGCATATACTTTTGTTATTATGCTTTTTGTTTCTGTGTGTCTTAGAGCTTTTTCTGGTCCCTCATTTCCTACATTACTATCTTCTCTTGTGTTTAGTTGATTTTTAATGGACATGTTTAAATTCCTTTTTCATTTATCTTTGTGTATATTATTGCTATTTTTTGTGCTTACCTTGGGGATTACATTTAACATCATAACACTGATTTGAATTTGTACCAGCTTAACTTGAGTGACATGTAGAAACTCTGTCCCTTTACAGCTCCATCCCCAACTCTTTCTTTTTTACGATGTTGCACAAATACATCTTTATAACTGTGTGCCCCAAAATATAAACTAGTAATTCTTTTAAACACATTAATTTCTTAAGTTATATAGAAAATAACATGTGGAGTTACAAAGTAAAGCTATAGTAATATTAACCCTTAACACTAATTAAAAAAAAAATACATCAGTCCTTAAAAAATATATTCATCTGTTAAATCATGATGAGAACAAAATGAGGAGTTACAAGCTGTTGCTGCAGTAACACCAGCTTTTGTAACTGCGTGTGTGTGTCTTTCCCAAGAGCCTTCTCTCTCCACGTGGCTTCAGGTTGCTGCCTGGCGTCCGTTCACCTCACCTGCAGGACTTCCCCAGCAGTTCTTGCATGACAGGTGGTGCTCACAGACTCCCTCAGCTTTTGTTTATCTGGGAATGTCTTGATTTCTTCCTCACTGTGAAAGGACAGCTTTGATGGGTATTGGATTCCTAGTTGAGTTTTTCTCTTTCGGCACTTTGAATTTATTGACCCACCATTCTCTGCTGACCAGAAGTCTACTGATCATTTTACTGAGGATCCCTTGTTTGTGTATGAACATCTTTCTGGCTGCTGTCAAGAGTTTCTCCTTGTCTTGGAAAGTCGAATTGTTCCGTGTCTCGGCATCAGTCTCTGAGCTCATCTTACTTGGAGTTTGCTGAGTTTCTTGGGTCTCTATATCCATATCTTCACTGAGCTCGGGAGGTGCGCCGCCACACTGTCCTCAGGTACTCTCTCTGCCTCCCCCCCCCCGCCCCCCCTCCTTCTGGGACACCCACAATGTGTGTGGGGTCTGGTTCCCTTGGGCTCTGCTCACTTTTCTCAATCTTTTTTCTTTTTTTTCCCCTCAGACTTAATGATTGTGTTGTTCTGTCTTCACGTTCACCAGTTGCTTCTTAATGCCTCCTCAGATCTGCCTTTGAGTCCTGCAGTGCATTTTTTATTTCCATTATTGTGCTTTTCAGCCCCAGAATTTCTTTTTGGTTTCTTTTTAGGTTTTCTCATCAATATTTCTGGTTTTGTTCATACATCATTTCCTTGACTTTCTCTACATCCTTAATTCTTTGAGCATGTTTAAGACAGTCGTTTGATCTGTGATTAGGCATTTTTTAGGACAGTTTCAGTTGAATTATTTTTTCCTTTGAATGGACCATATTCCTTTTATGCCTTGTGATTTTTGTTGTTGGTGGTGATGAGCTAATAATGTGGTAAATCTGGAAATCGGAACCATCCTCTTCCTCAGGATTTGCTGTTCTGGTTGTTGTGTTTGTTTCTTTGATTACGGTTTGCTGTCTCTGGGCTGAGGATCAGCCTGATGTGTGACCTTCAGGTCTTCTCAGATCTTTTCTGTCTGCACCTTTCCCTAAGGACACACACAATCACTTTCTGCTTTTTTCTGTGTATTCAGTTGCTTTTGAATGTTGTAGGTTTTAATTTTTCTCCAAAAGAAAAATGCAGTATGGAGTAAAAGGGCACTAGCCCTTTAAATCTCCCAGAAGTTCCTTTAGTCAAAGGGGGAGAGGCTGCAACTGTGGCCTCCGCCTCGTCTGCCCCGCTGTGAGCAGAATCAGCACTCAGAACACAGGTCCTCAGTGTCTGGGGGGCAGGGTCCTTTTTGCCCACCGTGGCTCCAGGAGCAGGTGCACAGCTGCCTGCCAGGGGGTGGGGGTGGGTAGGTGTCATTGTGCTAAGAGCCAGAGGGACTGTGGTTCACCCTGCAGGCCGTCCCGTGAAGTTGCGAGCCTTCAACAGACTCGAGTTCCAGAGTAGTTGCACCAGACAAGATTCTGCCGGGTCACCTGTTGTCCAGGTGGGGAGATGGACACCTGGAGCTTACTGCCCCACCACCTTCCCAGAATCTCACCCTTAATTGCTCAAGACAGCCTTGACGTCAGACAAATGGGGCACCATGGACCTCAATTATGTTTACCATGTGCATGTCTTTCTTTTACCTGCAGGGTAAGGGAAACCTACTAGAAGATTGTCAGCTGCAGAAAGCTGACCTCATAACTCAGGTGAAACAACTTCAAGAAAGACTGGACTGTCTGGTCCATTCTCAGAGCCTTCAGAGCTTTGAGACAGAGGGATTTAAATGTCAACAGCCATTGGCATTTTGGCATGTTTTAGAAAATAGTTCAAGTGATAGTTCCAATAATGGTGATGAAGCTGACAATTCACCTCCTGTTGATGCATTAAACATTCATGAAACCCTGTGGGATCCAGTTGATGTTACTGGAAATCCGAACTCAGTGATAAGCGAGGAGCCAGGTGCTCCTGGGGAGGATGAGGTAGATTTGCAGAATGGCTCACTTTGCTTACAGGTGAGCTTGCCCGGTAGCTCCGGCAGCTCATCCCACAGTGAGGGGACAGAGCCCTTAAAGACCACCCTCCGGGCAGTGGACCTATCCTCCTGGAGCTCCCCTGAGGTCGTGAGGAAGGACTGGACCCTCGAGCCCCCGCCCAGCCTGCCCCTGACGCCTTGCTCCGATGCCCTGAGCCAGTGCAGCCTGGATGCCACCCTGCAAGACAGGATAGATGCCTTACTGCTCCCGTCTGACCAGTCCCAGGCACTCTGTTACCCAGGCAGGTCAGCATCCAGAAAGGCACCTGGGTGGGCAGCGTCTCTGCTGGCCACAGTCAGGGCTCCCTTTGCTGACCAGCACGTGCAGTGGACAGCTGTGGTAAGTGGTCCCCTGGGTGCTGTCCTGGTGGGCATGTGTGGGATGGCCAAAGCTCCTGTGCGTTCCCCCAGGAATGTGTCCACGTGTCACAGCTGTATACTACCATCTCATGTAAAATTTTTTAATCCAAAATACTTGCTAGTGACTTCTTTAAAATACTCCTAGAGAGCTGTGGATGAATTTGATTAAATTACTAGAAGCATATGACTTCATTGTGTCCACAAGCTTCAAACACTTTTATTTCGATTCTGTTTGGAAATGATAAATTCAGGCATGTCCATCCGGCAACTCAACTCCCTGGTATAGTATATTGTTATTTTACAACCACTTAAAAATCTACCCCTACTTGAACAGGAGAAAGACGTTGAAGATGCCATCATAACATCTCTTGATTCTCAGCAAAAGTCAGCATCGTCTCCTGGGCTGGCGGGAAGGCCTGGCGGCAGTGCAGTGCGTGAGTGCACCCCTCCCCGCAAGCCTTCATCCTCGTGGGGGTGGTACAGACAGCAGGGCCTGTGCCCTTCATGCCCCCTGCATACTCTGGCCGCGCTGGCGTGCAGGCTCCCCTGTCTCTGTGTCTATGCTCTGGGTGTTGGTTGCAGACCTGAGGGCACTTTGCTCCTGAAATTTCCATGTATTTCACCACATCCAGTTCACCGTGCCCCCTCAACACCAAGTGGCTGTGGCGCATCTACAGACCTGACTCAGGTTTTGCCACCTATCCCGTTAGTGCCCTTTATAGAGAAGAACACTCTGCTGGTATAGTGCCTCCGACGCCTCTTGCAGGATGGAGAACGGCAAGAGGCAGGCTGGGGCCTGAGCACACGTTTTGGGCTGGGAGGCCGTGCCGTGCTGACCCCGAGGGGGTGTGGCCCCTGCATTCCGGGCAGCCCCTCCTTCCCTGTGGGTTTGTAGCAGGGCCGTCAGCACACACGCATCTTGGTGTGTCTGGAGTATGCACAGTGACGCTGTGTTCTTCCCGGTGCACCACAGCACGAGGTCTGGGGCACCAGTGTGGACCCCTTGGCCATATGTCCACCACGTTTTAGTCCCATTTTTCCCTTTTTAGTTGTCAAGTGTCCTCGGGAAGGGACTTGGGAGCCACAAGATCCTTGCTGGTGGCTGTGGCCTGCGTCATCACCGAGGGGGCTGTCCTGAGCTGATATCTGAGTCCTTCTTTCCTCTATAGTCACTGGCTGTTCATGAGCCAGTCACCGTGAGAGGTTCTGACTTTCTTGGCTCATTCAGCACTTGAGAGAACGAGACCATGTGAGGCACAGCCATTGGCATCTGCAGACCAGGGCCGGCAGCTGGTTCCTTTTAGCTCATGATTGGTCCCAGTGGGAAGTGCGTGGTTTAGGGATTTGAGTGGCGGGTCCCAGGAACAGCCCTGGATTGCCCTTCCCCAGGGACATCACAGCAACTCTCAGAAACTTGCTCTAGGATTTATTTTCAAATCGTATTTGCTAGTTAGAGTCACTCGCATGAACTTCCTGGCTACACACTCCACAGGCCTCTATCCCGTTTTCCCGGGATGCTCCCTTTGCCTTCCGGATTCTCGCAGGGCCGCTGGGGGGTGCACGTTGTCTCTTGCAAGGCTCTCTTCCTTTCCCTTCGCTGCCTCATGGCCTCCCCACACTATACCGGGCCTGTGCCCACCTGCTGGTCAGACCCTTCATCCCTTCTTGATGTATGTTCATTGCTTCAATGACGTAAGTTCCCCAGCAGCTCCCGAAGGAAAGCCCGCTCCATGTGCCTTTTCCCGGGAACTTCCCGTGCCTCCATTTGTCGGCAGTAAGGCTTGGTGCAGATTCCTAGGTGGGAAGCCCTCTCCCCCGCTAGAGTCTCAGACCCAGCGTCGCCCCCACTCGCCTGTCGCGCTGGCCCTCAGCATGGCCCCTGGGGTGTGTCCTCTGCCCTGGAACTTCTTCCTGAGGCCTGTGGCCATTTCCCCTATGGTTCTCTCTCATTTTTCTGTGATTTTCTGTTAACCACATACCAGACCTCCTGGGCCAGTTTTCTTTTCTCTCCTTTTCTACATCTTTGTATGTTAGGACTTTATTTCTCAAGCTATGTCAAATGCTCTTCATTCTGCTCTGTATGAATCTCCGAACACACTCCTCCTCCCCAGCTGCCCGTTTTCTGTGCCTTTCCTTGTTCTGTGGCTGATACTTCAGTTTCCTCCTGTGAGGAAACGGCGGTCTCCCTGAAGTTCGCTCCTGCTGCTGTCTCCACCCTGCTGCTTCCTCCGCTCTCTCAGTCTATTTCACTCTGTCTTATGTTTGGACGTTCCTGGGCACGTCTGAGGATTCATACTCTTCTCTTATTAACGCTGGAGGCCCTGTGCTCGGGGGCCTCACCTTCTCCGTCACCCTGAGCTGCACGCTGGCAGGAGAAGCAGCTGGAAGGTCTGACCCTGCTTTCCCGCTGGGCAGCTCCCTCCGTTTTCCAGAGCCTGTGCTTCCAGGCCTCCTTGAATCAGCTGCACGTTGCCAGGCTTGGGGACCTATGCACTTCTGAGAGGTTTGGAACTGTTTCAAGGCCACTTCCCATCAGACTGAGGTTCCTGGAGTCTCAAATTCTAGACCAGGGTTCCTCAGCCCAGGATGGCTAGTTTCAGGGCTTTTCTCTACCTACCCCCAAATCCAGCGAGCTCACCTTTCCCGACCAGATGTGTGCCTGTTGCTGCATCAGCCCCTGCCTGCCGTCTTGTCCTCACGGCTCAGGCCTCCCTTGGTTTGGCGAGCACAGGCCCCATGCATGTCTGTCTGCGGGGCAGGTTCTCTGTGCGGCCCTGTGGGTTTTGTTGTGTCCTTGGGGGATCAGAAAACACACATCCAGGTAAAAATGAGCTCAGATATCCATAAGCTTTATGTTGAAATCATGGATGTTAACATATTAAACATGCAAAGTATACTTTTTCTTAATGTGTGTAGTTCTCATCTTGGGTCTTTATGAAAATACTGGTGGCATCTGGTAGCTCACCAAAGATGTCTTCTGGGATGGGCTCAGCCACCGCTGTCCTGGGCGTTGTGGGGCCTGGCCACACAGTGCACAGGGAAGCAGGGTCTGACTGCCCCCTGTGCTCTGAGAACATCCCCAGGGAAGCTGCCAGAGAGCCACAGTTGTTGGCCCTTACTTCGTGGTGTGTTTCTAGGTGATGGCTTGGGGTTTGGAGAGATCCTGAACCGAGGCTCAGGAGGACTCGGAGCTCCCACTGCTGGCCCTGCAGTGCCTCTTCCTGCCTCTGGAAGGTTCCAGCAGCCTGTGGAAACCATGAAGGAGAAGGAAGTCCACCCCCAGCAAGTGAAGGTAAGTCAGGGCGCCGTGGTGAGGGGCCTCCCTCTCTGGCCTGCTCTGTGCCTGCCTGGTGGCTCTGCTCAGACACGCTCCAGCTCCAGCTCTTTCGTGCCTCCGAGAAGTGTTTGCAGAAGCCGAGCCCCTGTTGTAAGGAGCACCAGGGTGGGCATATCACGTGGGACCCTGGCCCACTGAGCCTGTTAGGGCCGCGGTCCCAAGGAGGGTAACCGCTCTCCCGAGCTGTCATGGCACAGCACATGCTGGGCCTGCAGGTATAGTTGTGTTAATGAATCACAAGAGACCAAACCAGGTTTGATCTTCCTGAATTTAGTTCAAGAATCAGAACTTTGGACCCTGTTTTGGGAAGTAATTGTTTTTCTGTTTGGTTCTGGAGACTGACCTTTCGCCTTCCCTGAGGTGACTTTGGGCTGCCCTGTGCCACTGCAGAGCCCAAGCACGGCACCGGTCCAGGCTCCAGGGTCGCCGCCCTGCCTGGCTGCAGCCTCAGCCCTGCTGATGGGCTGGGCTCATCCCTACCCCCTGCCAAGGGTCCCCACTGTCCCAGCCGCTGCTGCGGTCCTGCTGGCCCTGCAGGGAGGCCCTCCCGGTCAGCGGGCTGGGCTGTGGAGGCGCTGATGGTCACAGCACTCCAGGGTCAGAGCTGGGTTCCCCTCAGATGAGGGGGGAGGGTGCCACTCAGCATTCTGGCGTTTAACTTAGAAAACAGAATTCCTTTTCGATTTTTCCCAGCTTTCACTGATAATGTGGCATTTTGTGACAGTGTGACATATCTCATGTGTGTTGCAAAACCGTTTAACCACGGTACCTTTAGTTTGCAGTTTCGTCACCTGGAAGGCAGAGTTTTTATAGAACTTTCATGGATTTTCTTTTCTCTCCCAACTTTAGCAAATCATTTTATGGCAAAACCATTGATATAAAGTTGGTCAAATAAATAAATGATAAAATGCCACTATCTTGTCGCATTCCCAAACAAAATAAGTTTGATGTTAATTAAAATGTTCTCTGAAATTGTGTTCAGAATAAAACTTTTTCTTACTCCTTTAAGGATTGAAATTGGAGTAATTTTTTTCTAGCTAGTATTTTATTTCCTATTTCCTTTTTTTTGCATTCCTCAATTGCTTATGACATTAAACATTAAAGACATTTCTGTTGCCATTTTCAATCCAAGTATTTAGAGAAGAATTTCTAGTATTAGAGGAATTTCTAATTTTTAAGGAATAAATCTGGTTGTTGTGACAATTCTTTATTCTTAGGCTTTGATGTTTAACACTTAGTAGTCAGAAAAGAAAACAAACACGAGACCCACCAGCAGCCCTGAGCCCTGCCAGGAAGCGGCAGAGGCTGCCTTTGGCGTCTGGCGGCGCCGGCCCGGCCGCAGTGGCAGGAGAGTAAGTCAGGAAGTGGTTGCCCTGTCGCTCGCTCTGTCCGCTTCAGTCAGAACCTGTGATTTCAGTATTCCTATGTCCAATTGAAAATAGCAAAAAGGTATTCTCTGAAAGGTTTTTCGTACTGTTTCAAGCTCGGTCTTCTGTGTCCTGACCTTCTGTGCCATGTTTCTGGAGTGTTGAGCTGCAGCACTCATCGTGGGGGGCGGCAGCATCAAGAGGATCTGTGTCTTGTTTGAAAGTGCGGTGATGACGTGCTCCCTGACACGTCGGCCACAAACCCCAGCAGTACCTCAGGGCTGGCTCAGGCATGTTGTGTGGCCACGCTCTGGGCTCTTCTGAGCTGGGCACCCTGGAGGAAGGTCCGGCATGCACTGGGGTTGGGGGTTGCTGAGCAGGGGCCATGGGCAGCCAGGCTCCAGCACCTCCAGGGCTACGCCGCCAGCATGCCTGAGTGGGAGCCTATGGGCCGGTCCGTGGTGGGAAGTGCCGTGCATCCACAGTGCCCTGAGCTGCAGGCAGGTGTGCATGGCTGATTAACAGCAGCGCATGGAGGTGGTAGCCATGGGAGAGCAGGTCCCTGGACAGAAGGCCACTGTCCAGAGGGCAGAAGTTCCAGTGATAGTGTCCATGGTCTCAAAGGCTGAGCCACCGCAAGTCTGCACCCCCACCAGCCTCAGACCTAGGGTCCTGCTGCTCCCCATTGATTCTCACGGCAGCTGTGGAAAACCCATATCTGCACAGACCTGGGTCCCTGAAGGGTGCCCCCAGGAAGCTGAGCTGGCGCGGGCAGACGACCTTACTCACTGCAGTGATCTTTTTGAGAGATGTTTTTAAAAGTGCATTTCACCTCCGTATAAGATCCAGGAAGGTGTTAAAAGAACAGAGCACCTGTCACCTGCAGCCAGGACACACCTGCTCTCACCACAGGGCCTTGATTTGCATCAGTTTTACATCAAATAAATTGTTTTGAAATGAAATTGTCTTTAGATTGTTAAGGATAACTCCCTTTAAAGTAAACTTAATGTATGATTTGGTCTGTAGCACTTCTGTATTGATATTTCACCTTTTGGGGTCATACTATTAGAATCATAGCAAAAACTATGTCTAGCTGGCTGGCTGTTGTGGGCCTCTTCACTGCTGGCTCTACATCTTGCTGCTTGGCACACTAATCAGTCTTTTTTCCTGAACTTTAAGGCTGGTGTGCCGCTGTCGTGAAGCCTTGCACATGGTGCAGGGACCTCCACAGGCCCTCTGTACTTGACGGTGGTCCTGCCACCAGCCTCTCCGTGGGGACAGCTCTGGGGCAGCCAGCCGCTTCCTCCATAAGCTCAGACCCCCATGGCATGGAGGGCCTGTTCCTGCGCACAGACCCCACAGGCAGGGCACAGTGCTGGTGTCTCCTGGCTCCCTGCATCTGGGCCCCATGGGGGCCCTGAGGGCCAGGGTGGCTGGTAGCCAGCCCTCTGTCACCCACACGTGCCATCTCAGGAGGCGACCTGCCGGCTGGGATGCGCACACAGGCTCCCCTTGGGGCATCCTTGCAGCACAACAGTGTGGCCTCAGGGGAGCCAGAGAAGCCCACGGTGTGTCCATGGCCTGAAGCCCTGTCCTGAGTTCTCCCACGTGTGTGGGGGGACAGCGCCCACCAAGAGGAGCAGGTGAATGGCTAAATCATGGGGCCCGCCTTGGAGAGCTTACGCAGAAATTCCCTCTCAGGGCTGGTCCCGAGTTGTCTCTGAGGGTCTTGGTGGAGGGGAGTGTGGAAACCTTGTGGTCAGAACAGTAGTCTGCTTTTTGGCATGAAGGCCGTGGGAGCACCGTTCCCAGGTGGTGGTGGGCCAGAGTGGAGGAACACATGCCTGCTTTCCTTCTTCCCAAAATTCCTGTCTGCTGCAGGCTTTGCTGCAGATGGTGTGTGATGAGAGCCGCCACATATTGGCCTTGTCCGAATGCTGCACACCTGCCAGTGCCCCGAGCGAGGGCAAGCCGCACATGGTGCTCGAGTGCATCCTGAGGGAGGCCCAGGGCCTGCTGGAGGCTGTACCCCAAAAGGGAGAGAAGGTATGGGGGTGCTTTGTGTGAAAGTAGAGGAGTAGCAGACAGGAACCAAATTTAGGAAATCGCTCGGCCAAGTAAGTGGGAGCCGGGAGTGAGAGGTGGGCCAGCAGCGACGGGCGGCTGGGGCGCAGGGGATGGGGACGGTGGCCACTCTTCTGGGAGGCGCAGTGGGGAGGGTGGGGACACAGGGGTATCCACTGTGCAGCCAAGGAGCCGGTGGCTGGTCCAGGGGCAGCGCAGAGTCAAGGGTAGATGCTGAGCCACGTCCACGGGACCAGCTGTCATGGGATGTGGAGGGAGAGGGGCAGCACCCACAGCCAGGCCCAGGAACTGCTGGGGAAGGGGCAGTGGGCTTGAGCACCCCATTCATGGCACCACGATGACCTCGGGCTGTCCCGAGACCCTGGCCCGCGCGTCCGCCTACCCCTTCGCCCTAGTGCCCTCTCGGGCTCTCCTACCGCTGGGTGGCTGGGGGCACTCGCGGCTCCCCTGCCCCCGTCTGTTCGGCAGTTTCTGTTTGAACCTGCTGGTGCTTTTGTGAGAACACCAAGCCCTGTGTCCCCGTGTTTTAGGAGCCTCCTGACGTGAGCCTCACCTGGAGAAGGGAATTCCTGCAGGGGGCCCAGCAGGTGTTTGGAACAGAGCAGGACACGCTGCCAGCCAAACTGTGGCCCTGGATCTGCAGCTCCGACCCTGGGGACCCCGGCTCCTTGCAGCTGAGGCGGCAGCAGATGGTGTGGGGGCGGGTGAGTGCCTCCCGACAGAGAGGCCAGCCTCCCCACCTGTACGTGTGGCCATGGCTGGAGAGGAAGTTCTGCCCTGTCCAGGGAAGCACTGCGTTTTTATGCGTGAATCTCACAAAATGGAGAGTAGTGCGCCTGTGTCCCGGACAACGTCCCTCTGTCCATAAATAACTGGCTTTCCTTAAAAGTGAAAGGCCAGTCCCCAGACCAGCCCCCAGCTATGAGTGCTGAGCCCAGGGTTGGAGGGTCAGGGCTGGGGGCATCTGCTCTGGGGCCTGGAGGCCTGTTTTCCATTTCCTCATAAGAGGGCATCAACGTCCAGATGCAGGGCTGCAGCAGGTCAGGGCAGCCCCAGGCACAGACCAGGCCCAGAAGGCAGACCAGGGTGCCTGAGGGTTCCATTCCACCTCTGGCACACATGCCCTCCCACCAGCTGTCCTCACCCCTGGGGGGGCCAGGGCACAGGGCCAACGGGTGTGAGCCAGCAGACCGAGCACGGCGTGTGGGTGGCAGGCTGCTCCTGCCCTGGCCTGGTTCCCCATCTACCTGGTGGCGCCTGCCAGTGGCTATGCATGTGATTCCTGACTGCCCGTCCTTGGGCACACGTGCAGGAGAAGCCCTCGGAGCACCTGCCTCTCTCAGACAGGAGCAGCTTGCTTGGCGAGATCCAGGCTCTGCGTGCCCAGCTGCGGATGACGCACCTGCAGAACCAGGAGAAGCTGCAGCAGCTGTGTGCAGCCCTGACCAGCGCACAGGCCCACGGAAGCCAGCAGGAGCGCCAGCTGCGCAGACAGGGTGGGTACTGCCCTTGCGTCCCCACCCACCTGGCGTCACCCGTTCAGTGAGGCAACGTGCCTATCAGCAGAGCCCCTCTGGCTGCCCAGTGCTGGGTCTGGTGGCAGTGGTCTGTTCCTGGTTTCCCCAGGTCCCTGAGTGCAGGGACTGTAGCTCTGGCATCAGCACCCCGAGAGTAGGACTCTGCGAGACGGAGCCGGGTGGGGCCCATGACTCCGTCTAATCCTCCAGGAGCGTTTGGATCTGGGTTGTGCTGGAGGCCGAAGCTGCCTGCTGCAGGTTTCTGCATTTAATTTAGATTCTGTGGGATTTTTTTATACAGATGCTCGTGTCATCTGTGAATAAAAAAACATTTAAAATTTTTCTTTCCCAGCCACCTCTTTTCTTACCAGTTGCACTGGGCATGGGGAACACTCCATCCGTCCCTCAGCCTGGGGTGTCAACTATAGTCTAAGGGCAGTGGCCTTGTGTTCAGGCCAGGCCTTGTCATCGCACATTCTCCTTTGTACATTTCCTGGCTGGTTTGCTGGCGTTTTGCATCCACACCAGTAGCTTTCTTCTGGTGTCGGTGTGTCGGTGTTGGAGTCTAGCCGGCTTCATGGATGGTTGGCGCCTGTCCTGCTTCCCAGAAGGGCTGGTGTAGAACCAGGTGATACCATCCGTGAGTTCAGGGAGAGCTCTTCCTTAGAGCTTGTCTCTGTGGGAGGCATGTAGCCTAGGAGTGGTGGCTGTGGTAGCATTTTCAGGTGACACGCTGGTCTTTGAGCACCAGGCAGCAGGGGTTCTGAGTGGCCTCAAACACGAAGGCTCATCTCAGCCTAGCTCCCCCTCTGGCTCTGAGAAGACCCCAGACTGATGCAGCTCCAGGGGCTAGGAGAGTGTGTGCCCCCCTGCCTGTGTGTCCCAGGTTCTCACCAGCCAGCAGGCTGCGATGAATATGTCCCCAAGTGTCCAGGCTCTGTCAGAAGTGAAGGCTTCTAGGTCATAGGAATTTCATTTCCCCCCAGGTTGATACACCCCTGTCCTATTACTGGTTTGTTTTTAATCTGTTAAGTCATTTGTATGGTTCCCTTTGGACTTGTGAATAACACTATTTTACATTCTTTGATCTCTTTTTTAGTTGAGTTATTGGCATATAAAGTTGAGCAGGAAAAATGTATAGCTAGCAATCTACAGAAGACGCTGGGTGAAGAGCAAGAGAGAGCAAGTGATGCTCAGAAGCTCCTGGTAGTGGAACAGAAGGCAGTCAGGGATTTGAGGTCTGAGCTCTGTGAGTGTAAAGAGGACAATGAAAGGCTGCTGGCATCCCTCCACAGCACGCAGAAGGAGGTGCTCCAGCTGAGGTGGGTGCCGCCCCATGGCCCGGTGGACGCAAGTGGATGGTGAGGGTGCGGCTGGTCGTGGCCTGACCTTCTAGGAGCCCTGGGCCACCCGTGTCCCTTCCAGAGTGCTCTGTGACACAGAGCCTGGCGGTCTGTCCCCACAGGTCCACACTGGACAGCAAGGAGAACAGCCTGCAGGCTGCCCTGCAGGAGCTGGAGGGCGGGCGTGGGAAGGAGCGTGCCCTGCAGAGCCGGCTGGAGGAGGAGCAGCTGCAGCGCCTGCAGAGCGAGGCACAGAGCACCAAGGCCCTGGAGGTAAGGGCAGGTGGGCTGTGCGTGCCCGTTCTTCTAGGCTCCTGTGTGCGGCGGCACACCCGGGAGGAGGCCGTCCTTCATGATGCAGGGAGTGAGAGACAGCATGGTGCCAGAGCACCCATGCTGTGCTACCTTGGAGTTTCGTTTTCTGTAAGGCGGCTGCAGGCTTAGAAGCTAGGGTCAAAATGAGCCAGTGTAGTGACCCAGCTTCTGCGTGTGATGCCTGCTGCGTGTGTGAACTGGCGTTTCATTTGGCAACTTGATGGCCCCGTGTCCAGCAGGTGTCCTGTAGGTCCTGAACAAGCGCACCATCAGTTCCGGGGTGGGTGAAGCTGTCTTTCAGTGACAGAGACTGGTTCAGAGCAAGCCTGCTGTGTCTTTAGTGTCCAGGTGTTGGTGTCAGGCCGAAGGGAGGCTGAGCCCGAGGCACGTGTGTTGCTTCCAAAAGTGTACTTTATCCAGGGGTGAGCATCAAAATAACTGAAAATGATTGCACTTTCTTCTTTCTCCGCAGGACAGATTTCAAAAGGAGTTATTGCTATGTTGAAGGATATCAGCAGGAATGTGGGCAAGAAATCTGTTGAGGTACTTTTCCTCCTGACAGAATTTTCCTGATCCCTTTCCCAGGAGTTGAGAAAGTCCTTGGAGCAGGAGTGTGCTCAGGGTGAGCGGCTGCGTGTCGCGCTAGAACACGAGCGGACGGCCAGGGACAACCTCCAGAAGGAGCTGCGGATCGAGTCCTCGCGCTGCGAGGCGCTGCTGGCCCAGGAGCGCGGCCGGCTCTCCGAGCTGCAGAGGTCACTGGCGGCCGAGGAGGGCCGGTCTCTGGAGCTGTCCGAGGCTCTGCACCATGAGCGGCTCCTGACGGAACAGCTGAGCCGCAGAACACAGGAGGCACGCACGCCGCACTCTCTGGGGTGGGAGCTGAAGGGCCTGCGGGCCGCGCTGGAGGCGGCACGGCAGCAGGAGGCCCAGGCGCAGCGGCGCTGCGAGGAGCTCCGAAGAGAGAAGGAGGTAAGTGCCGTGTGGAAGTCGGCCCTGGAGGTCCTGCAGACCCGGAGTCGGGAGCTGTGTGGTCTGGAGCAAGAGCGGAGAAGCCTGCGTAGCTGCAGGCAGTTAGAGTGGTTACACCCAAGGCTGTCAGAGCTGGAGGACACCAGGGCGCGAGGAGCGGGGACCAGGCAGAGGCACGTGGGCACGGAGAAGTGGCAGAGAGACAAGGAGAGACTGGTGTGCGCCAGTGCTGGGTGTCAGCACTGACCACCATGGCAGCGGGTGGGAGACATGAGGGTGTCTCCCACATCTGTCCTAACTGGGACCCCTGTGTGACCGCAGTCCTGCAGCGAGCTCTGAAGTCAGGAGGTGCCAGTCCTCCGGCTCAGCTCTCCCAGCGCAGTGTGTGTGTTTGTGGCCCTTGCCGTGCCGTGTGCCTTTGATGGTCAGCCTTTCCTCTCCCGCAGAAGAGGCTGTCAGGGTTCTGATGGGACCGCACAGAGTCTGGCTTTGGGTGGAAGAGCCCGGCCCCGGCCTGCAAGGCAGGAAGGTCTCCGTCTGTCAGGCCTCCGCCTCCGGTGGTTTCAGCCGTGAGCACTGCACTTCTTGTCAGATTTATTCCTAAGGGTTCCTCTCCATTTTGATGCTATGTTAAGTGTAATGGTCATCTTAAAACTTCATCTCAGACTGTTGGTGGCCAGTGTGTAGCAATACAGTTCATTTTTGTTTATTGATCTGTGTCCTGTAACGTTGCTGAGCTTACTATCCCCAGTGTTTTCTAATTCATGCTTTGGGATTTCCCATGTATGAGATTGTGTCCTCTGCTCATAGACGGTTTTACTTCCCTTCCACTCGGAAGGCCTTTTCTTTCCTCTTCCCGGCTGACTGCCTGGCTCGGACATGGAATGGGAGGTGGGCATCCTCGCCTTGTCCCCCTGGGAAAGCGCCCAGTCTCACCGTTCAGCATGGTGGTGGCTGAGGGACTTTCATTGGTGCCCTTTATCAGAGGAAGTTCTTTTCTATTCCTTCTCTGTTTTTTATTTTTAACTTTGAGAGAGTACTAGATTGGGCTTTTTAGTGTCTTTTGAGATCTGTGGTTTTTATCCTGTGTTGATAGTGGTGAATTACATTGATTTTCATATGTTGAACCATTCTTGCATTCTTGAAGTGAATCCCATCAGTTTTGGTCTATAGTTCCTTTTTATGTAGTGCTAGATGCAGTTTGCCAGTATCTGGTTGAGGATTTTGCCTCTGTGTTCATGAGGGATGCCAGTCTGTAGTCCTGTGGTTTTGATGCCCAGACAAGTTTGGCCTCACAGGATGGTGAAGAGATGTTCTCTTATTTTTGGGGGGCCTTAATTTTAGATACATTTTATGTCCAAAAGCCTTTCTTTCTGAGGAAATTATATCCTGAATCTTCTCATGGTTTGACATTTATTCTGCCCTCTTTAAAAATATTTTTTAAAAACTGTAAGAAAATACCTTTACATCTGGTGTTTTTGTGTTTCGTGAAAATACAAGTAAGTTTTTTAAAACATACAAGGAAAACCAATGGTCTGGCCTTTTTAATGGTTTACTTGAATGAAACAGTTGAGAAATGAGTATTTCTAAGAACAAAACTAGATTTCTAAATGTTACAAGGATAAATCAGATTCCAAAATGCTACAAAATCAGCTTTGTAAGTTCACATGAGGGATGTGATTGATATTTCTCATCAGCTTTACCCAGGTAAAATTCACATACCATTGAGTTCAATTTAAATTGAACAATTCAGTGGTTTTTAGGGTATTCAGAATTGTGCCCCCCTCACTACTGCCGATTTTAGAATACGGTCATCACCCTGATTCGTACCCATACCCCCCAGCAGGCGCCTGTCTCCCTGCCCAGCCCCCAGCGGCCACATGCCTCTTGGTTCCTGTGGAGCTTCCCCATGGTGGGCCTGGATGGATGTGGAACCACATACCCGCTGGCCTTTCACAACATTCTCAGGGTCTGTCCGTGTTGTAGCATGCCGGTGAATAGCCATCAAAGTAGCTATAGTGTTTCATCAGTGGAAGTCTGGGGAAGTGGACGGGGCGTGGAGGAGTGGCCATGGGTTCCCTCGGCTCTGGGCTCTGAGGTGCTCCCCAGCTTGGCAAGCTTGTCCAAGTGTCCCCAGGTGTGGGGCTCTTGTCCTGCCATCTTCATTGACCCCCCCGAGGGTGGGGGTGATGCTCGTGTGGAGGTGTCTGCTCCTTGGGGCCAGCCTAGAGGCCAGAGGGCCCTGAGCTCAGGCCCCCGGCTCCATGCTATGCGTGTGTGTGTCTCGTGCATTTGTACTCATGCTCACACGGCTCTGTTTCTGCTTATCCATGTGTCAGTGTATATGTTTTGTGTAAGTACACATGTGTTTGCATGCAGGTATGTGTTGGGGAGACTCTAGCAGGCCTGTGGAGAGTCCTGTTGTTTTTGAGTCCCAGACCTCCTCTTCCTGGGTTGGGGGTAGGATTACTTAACCTGAGCCTGGTGAGGCCTAATAGTGCGCCAACGTGAAAGGTGGGCCTTTACTGTGGAATCTCTGGAGTATGATTCTGTGTCCCTAAGCAGGGGCTGTCCTGACCCCGTGTGGTGGGAGGTGCAGTGTGTAGGGTTGGGGGATTGAGTCCTGGCTCCCGGTGGAGGGCTGTGTGCAGACAGCCCTCTGAGCCAGAGGCCGGTGCTGGGGAGGGGCCTCTGTGTCTCTGCAAGGTTTCTGGTCTTTGGCTCTTGGAGTGTGACTGTGAGGGACTTCTCTGTTGCTTGCCACCAATACCAGCGAGAACTCGAGTTACAGTGCCAGAGAGATGAGCATAGGATCCGGCAGCTGCAGCGGACGGTGAGGGACCTGCAGGCCAGCGTAGAGGCCCGTGCCTCCCCAGACTCTGAGCGCATCCGAGAGCAGCAGCAGGGCCTGGAGAAGACTCGGCAGCAGCTGCTCTGGGTGGCTGGGCTTCTGACCAGCTTTATCAGCCAGGCTGTGGACAGGCAAGTCCCTTGGAGCACATGCGCACCCCAGGGCAGTGGACGCTCTCGGGTCTAGTTGTGTGTGGTCGGGTCCCTGCTCTAACAAGACTGCTTCTTCCCCACGGGTTTGCACGGTGGGCGGCAGTGGTGTCCTGTGACAGAAGCCCAAGCTCTCCCTGTGCCTTTATACACGTTACCCCGGGGATCCAGCCCAATGCCTGCCCCTTCCTGCCCAAGCTTGGGGTGCCCCTGGGTCCTGCGTCTGCCCCCTGAGGGGCCATGACGAGGATGCGTCCATATGGTCAAGGAGCCAGGACCCTGGCATTTTGTACAACCAGAAAGATTCCTGCTTGCCCTTTTCTGTGAACACAGCAACTCAGAAAATACGGTTCTCCCGTCTGTGGTCAGATCTGACTTAGCAGCGTCTCCTCTGGGCAGTTTCCTCCTGACAGTGCTGAGCAGCAGACTCGGGAGCCCAGCGGGAAGGAGCAGGAGGCCCCCCAAACCTCTGGGCTTCAGGCTGTATCCCCGGGTCTGCACCACCTCACAGCTGTCCCCATCATCCAAGAGGCTCCCAGCCCCCACTTATGGACAGAACACAACTTGATGAAGCAGCTCACATGTGTGTTCACCAGCGGTCCACACGTGTGTCCTCCTGGTGCCGCACCAACCCCCTCACTGTCTCTCCAGAGTCCTTGGAGGCTTTGGACGACTGTCGGCATCCATGTGAGTCTTTAAATGTCCATTTATTCTTACAGGACAATCAATGATTGGACATCATCCAATGAGAAAGCAGTGGCATCTTTGCTGAGAACATTAGAAGAACTCAAGTCTGAACTGAGTGCCACAGACTCCTCACAGGTGGGAAGGTGCGGCCTACACTTGGCTGCCTCCTCCCCTTCCTTGCCCCCCTTCTCCCGTGTGCTGGGTAGGTGGAGGATGAAGCCCCCCAGCTGCATGACCGCCAGGCCCTCCCAGGTCAGGGCAGCCATGCCCCTCCCGTGTCCCCCAGCCTTGTGCAGCCCAGCAGCTCCCCCCAGGAATGCCGGGGCTGAGCCTGAGCTAGAGAAACACTCTCGGCCTGGCCCTGGGACGCTGTGCTCCCTGTTCAAAGCCCTGGTTTTGTGACCATTAGCAAATAGGACACTGATCATGACAGCAGCATGCGTGTTGGGCAGCAGGAGAGCTGACCTGTGCCCCCGCCCACCCGCCAAGCTGGACCAGTTGGGGCTGGCGCTGCCCCTCTTGTCTGCGCTGATCTCACGGCCCCACCCTGACCCAGCCAGAATGCCACTGATGATGGGGTGATGGGCATTTGTGGGCCTTTTCCATTGGCCCCTCGGGAGAACACACAGTGTGTCCCCCTGTTCAAGTGTGTGTGCCCTGTTCGTGGGGCTGTCTGGCTGTTGGTACAGATGTACGTCCTTCAGGCAGCCTGGTGTTTTGCAGGTCTGTTTACAGAAGATTGAAGAGAAACATGATTCATTAGGTTTTTATTATTTGCTGTCCTAGACGGACGGTCCTACCCAGCCCCACAAGCTTCCCACTGAACCCCAAATATGCCTAAAATCATGACCCTGCAGTAACCAACAATAAAGACACAAGCAGCTTGCATGCCTTTTAACAACAAAATTCTTTCTTGTTTATTTTTGTCTTCTCCTTTTCAAGAAGGAAATGACAGCAGAGCTCCAGGTCCGGCTGGTGGACACGCTGCTGCAGGACAATGACTCCCTCAGGAGGAGGCTGGGCGCAGGGAGCCGGGGAAAGGCGGGGCTGCGCGGGGCTGCGTCCAGGCCCAAGGAGACCCTGCAGGCAATACGTGTAGGTGCCCATGCCCTGCGGGCTCCACCTCCCTGGCTGCACCGGGTGTCGGGTATCTTAACGTTTTAGTGGATTCTCTGCTCTGTTCACACTGGGACACGCTAACCCTCGCTGTGAGGTGAAGTGTGATTCTTGTCCGTGAAAGGAAATTTTGACTCAGTTTTTTTTACTTTTACCTAATGATTGATCATTTTCCTGATTGTGTAGTCTGACAGACTTCTTTTGTGGAATGCCTAATTCTTTCTTTTTACACATAGGTTATTTTGTGTCAGTGATTTGCTTTACTTTTTTTACAATGAAAACTTCTTAAAAATAATTTTTGATTGATATGCAGTAAAATCTGGCACTTGTTGGTGTGACATACCGAGTTTTCATGCTTGTGTAGTCGTGTGACCAGCTGTGTGGCCACACCTGACCCCTGCGGGCGGGCAGGCCCCTCCCCCGGCTCTGCTTCTCTTGTATGTTGTCCACGTAAGAGGAATGTGCAGCGTGTGACCTTTTGAAGGGCCCTTCCCTCCTGTCATGGTGCGTCTGAGTCCTCATGGGCATTGATGGACCTGAGCAGCCTGAGGATGCTTTTTCCAATTTCTGATTCCTGGGAGTAATTTGTGTGCAGAGCCCTTTGCTCAGGTGTAAACACCCAGGAGCGGGGTTGCTGGGTCCTGTGAGGGTTCTGTGGAGATTCTGTGCACCGCATGGCGCAGCCTTGGCACAGTGAGAGGGCAGCTGCTCGTGTCCTAGCGTCCAGGGTTCTCAGTGTTCCTTTAGCATTTGGAGAGGGGTGAGTGATGTGGCATTCATGGAGCTTCTTTGGTGAAGTAATCTCAATCTTTTGCCCATTTTTAGGTTGGTTTGTTTTCTTGTTGAGTTTTGAGAGCTCTTCATATATTTCAAATATAACTCCTGGGTCAAATAGGTGATTTGCAAATATTTTCTCAGCAATGTTCTCTCCTTCTCTGTATGATTTGAAAAACACCAATTTTTAATTTTGATGAAATCCTTTGTATCAGTTGGTCTGTTTACAGATCACACCAAGAATTTTATAGTTTTCCCTTTTTACACTTAGGTCTAAGATCCATTTTGAGTTAATTTTTGTTCATGGTCTGTGGGTAGGTTGAGGATTATTTTTATTCATGTAGATGCCAGTTATTCTGGCTTACTTTGTTGAAAAGATTGTCCTTTCTCCTTGAACTGTGCACCTGTGTCAAAGCCGGGCACCAGGACTAGTGCACATATGCCTAGACCCTCTCTGTGGCTCCACTTGTCTGTCTATCCTTGAACAGCTGCCTGATTAATGCAAATTCATGTTATATCTTCATATCAGGTCATAGGAATGCTATAATCTTTTCTTTGTAAATTATTTGGCTGTTCTAGTTCCTCTTCATCTGATATAAATTACAGAATTTTGCTAGTTATGTTGACTGGGATTGTATTAAATCCATAGATCAATGTAGGAAGAACTGGGGAGATTCTAACAGTCAGTAACTTCCTTCAAGTTAAACATAGAACCACTGTCTTAACCCAGCAATTCCACTGCAAAGTATTTACCCAGGAGAAGTGAAAATATATGTCCATATAAAACTTGTTCACAAATTTTTCTATCACCCTATTGATCACAGTGAGAAATGGAAATAACTCCAATGTGCATTAATTGATGAATGGAAAAATAAAACATGACATACCTTCAATGGAATATTATTCAGCAATAAAAAAAAGAATAGAGAGGGAGGAGCCGAGATGGCGGCGTGAGTAGAGCAGTGGAAATCTCCTCCCAAAACCATATATATTTTTGAAAATACAACAAATACAACTATCCCTAAAATAGAGACCAGAAGATACAGGACAACAGCCAGGCTACATCTACACCTGCGAGAACCCAGCACCTCGCGAAGGGGGTAAGATACAAGCCGCAGCTCGGCGGGAACTGAGCACCCTTCCCCCCAGCTCCTGGCGGGAGGAGAGGAGTCTGAGTGGGGAAGGAGAGGGAGCCCAGAGCTGCTGAACACCCAGCCCTAGCCATCCACACTGGAGCGCAGACACAGTGCGTGGGGTGCTGGATACTAGGGAAACGGGATAGTAAGACCTGTAAGCAGGTCCCCACAGCTGGCGCACCCAGGACAAAGAAAAGCAAGTGCTTTTTGAAAGTCTTAAAGGGACAGGGACCCCACAGCTGGACGGAAGCATCCCGGGACACTTAGCCCAGCAGCTGGGAATCCTGGGGAATTCCAGGTGCCCTAACTCCCTGGGCGGCAGCGCAGCTAGGAGGCCCCTCACGGAGATGAACAGTCTCTAGCCCGTTTCCCCTCCAACGCCGCTCCGCCATATTGGGAGCAGCAGCCTGAGGCAGGCCATGCCCACAGCAGCCACGGAGCTTACTCCACAGCAGCCAGGCAAGAATCAGAGTCCTGACCCAGCCAGAATGCCACTGATGATGGGGTGATGGGCATTTGTGGGCCTTTTCCATTGGCCCCTCGGGAGAACACACAGTGTGTCCCCCTGTTCAAGTGTGTGTGCCCTGTTCGTGGGGCTGTCTGGCTGTTGGTACAGATGTACGTCCTTCAGGCAGCCTGGTGTTTTGCAGGTCTGTTTACAGAAGATTGAAGAGAAACATGATTCATTAGGTTTTTATTATTTGCTGTCCTAGACGGACGGTCCTACCCAGCCCCACAAGCTTCCCACTGAACCCCAAATATGCCTAAAATCATGACCCTGCAGTAACCAACAATAAAGACACAAGCAGCTTGCATGCCTTTTAACAACAAAATTCTTTCTTGTTTATTTTTGTCTTCTCCTTTTCAAGAAGGAAATGACAGCAGAGCTCCAGGTCCGGCTGGTGGACACGCTGCTGCAGGACAATGACTCCCTCAGGAGGAGGCTGGGCGCAGGGAGCCGGGGAAAGGCGGGGCTGCGCGGGGCTGCGTCCAGGCCCAAGGAGACCCTGCAGGCAATACGTGTAGGTGCCCATGCCCTGCGGGCTCCACCTCCCTGGCTGCACTGGGTGTCGGGTATCTTAACGTTTTAGTGGATTCTCTGCTCTGTTCACACTGGGACACGCTAACCCTCGCTGTGAGGTGAAGTGTGATTCTTGTCCGTGAAAGGAAATTTTGACTCAGTTTTTTTTACTTTTACCTAATGATTGATCATTTTCCTGATTGTGTAGTCTGACAGACTTCTTTTGTGGAATGCCTAATTCTTTCTTTTTACACATAGGTTATTTTGTGTCAGTGATTTGCTTTACTTTTTTTACAATGAAAACTTCTTAAAAATAATTTTTGATTGATATGCAGTAAAATCTGGCACTTGTTGGTGTGACATACCGAGTTTTCATGCTTGTGTAGTCGTGTGACCAGCTGTGTGGCCACACCTGACCCCTGCGGGCGGGCAGGCCCCTCCCCCGGCTCTGCTTCTCTTGTATGTTGTCCACGTAAGAGGAATGTGCAGCGTGTGACCTTTTGAAGGGCCCTTCCCTCCTGTCATGGTGCGTCTGAGTCCTCATGGGCATTGATGGACCTGAGCAGCCTGAGGATGCTTTTTCCAATTTCTGATTCCTGGGAGTAATTTGTGTGCAGAGCCCTTTGCTCAGGTGTAAACACCCAGGAGCGGGGTTGCTGGGTCCTGTGAGGGTTCTGTGGAGATTCTGTGCACCGCATGGCGCAGCCTTGGCACAGTGAGAGGGCAGCTGCTCGTGTCCTAGCGTCCAGGGTTCTCAGTGTTCCTTTAGCATTTGGAGAGGGGTGAGTGATGTGGCATTCATGGAGCTTCTTTGGTGAAGTAATCTCAATCTTTTGCCCATTTTTAGGTTGGTTTGTTTTCTTGTTGAGTTTTGAGAGCTCTTCATATATTTCAAATATAACTCCTGGGTCAAATAGGTGATTTGCAAATATTTTCTCAGCAATGTTCTCTCCTTCTCTGTATGATTTGAAAAACACCAATTTTTAATTTTGATGAAATCCTTTGTATCAGTTGGTCTGTTTACAGATCACACCAAGAATTTTATAGTTTTCCCTTTTTACACTTAGGTCTAAGATCCATTTTGAGTTAATTTTTGTTCATGGTCTGTGGGTAGGTTGAGGATTATTTTTATTCATGTAGATGCCAGTTATTCTGGCTTACTTTGTTGAAAAGATTTTCCTTTCTCCTTGAACTGTGCACCTGTGTCAAAGCCGGGCACCAGGACTAGTGCACATATGCCTAGACCCTCTCTGTGGCTCCACTTGTCTGTCTATCCTTGAACAGCTGCCTGATTAATGCAAATTCATGTTATATCTTCATATCAGGTCATAGGAATGCTATGATCTTTTCTTTGTAAATTATTTGGCTGTTCTAGTTCCTCTTCATCTGATATAAATTACAGAATTTTGCTAGTTATGTTGACTGGGATTGTATTAAATCCATAGATCAATGTAGGAAGAACTGGGGAGATTCTAACAGTCAGTAACTTCCTTCAAGTTAAACATAGAACCACTGTCTTAACCCAGCAATTCCACTGCAAAGTATTTACCCAGGAGAAGTGAAAATATATGTCCATATAAAACTTGTTCACAAATTTTTCTATCACCCTATTGATCACAGTGAGAAATGGAAATAACCCCAATGTGCATTAATTGATGAATGGAAAAATAAAACATGACATACCTTCAATGGAATATTATTCAGCAATAAAAAAAAGAATAGAGAGGGAGGAGCCGAGATGGCGGCGTGAGTAGAGCAGTGGAAATCTCCTCCCAAAACCATATATATTTTTGAAAATACAACAAATACAACTATCCCTAAAATAGAGACCAGAAGATACAGGACAACAGCCAGGCTACATCTACACCTGCGAGAACCCAGCACCTCGCGAAGGGGGTAAGATACAAGCCGCAGCTCGGCGGGAACTGAGCACCCTTCCCCCCAGCTCCTGGCGGGAGGAGAGGAGTCTGAGTGGGGAAGGAGAGGGAGCCCAGAGCTGCTGAACACCCAGCCCTAGCCATCCACACTGGAGCGCAGACACAGTGCGT